TAAAATTTTTTTTTCTACTTCTTTTATTTGGTAAAAAAACAATACTTAAAAAATCATTTTAATGACATCGAAATGAACCTCGTTCAAAATTATAAAATATTTATTCTCCAGGAAGCAGTCCAAGTGTGGTATACCTATAGAGTTAGTATATTTAACATTAGTATATTAACAAGTTAGTATATCAAAATACTTATCTTGATAGCTATGGGACGAGACATCATTTTTAAGAGACGGCGTATCTATAGGGTGTAGTTGAATCTGGTTATAAATGCCTCACATGGAAAATTTCCTAGAATTTTAGGGGCTCCTTTCTACACTGGTGTAAGAAATTAAGAGAATCTGCAGACTGGGTCGATTATCTCTAGAACTACAGGACCGATTTTAATGAAATTTGATACATTGCTACAATACAAAACAAATAACCATTCAACAATTGTAATACACATACATGTTCGTGCGTAACATTCGTTGGAGTCGGTAGGTATGAAATTGCCACGGGAGATGATAAAGTGCCTTATTTCAAGTATGAAATCACGCTGCAAGTCCTGTACCCCTGTAAGAGGGGACCATACCTCCTATTAACCCTTGTTGTTCTTGTTTATTCTGCAACTGCTGTTTCATACGTTTCGACTCCAACGAGTGTTATGCACGATCATGCGTGTGTATCACAATTGTTGAATGGTTATTTGTTTTGTATTGTATCAATGTATGCACACATCAAATTTCATTTAAATCTGTCTAGTCTAGTAGTTTCAGAGATAATCGACCAAATCTACAAATTCTCTTAATTTTCTGTATAGGATTGAAATAACCAGTGGATGGAGGATGCTCTAAGTGGTCCTAACATATAGGCTCAAATCAAACACTTTCTTTGTCAGGAAACTTACTACGCGCTCATATTTTCTGGTTGTCTTTAGAGCCTTTAGTATATTTTTATTTTAATTTTGCGAACTATTCCTTTACGTATATTACTGCATTTTCATTTTATTCATTCATTATTACTGTTTTCATTAATAATTTCTTTCCTACATTTGAATTGTGAAACTTTTTTTGAAAATGATTTATTTATTTAATTATTTTGAATACGAAGTTTTTAATCAGCTCAAAAAACACCTTCAAAGAATTATATTCTTTTTTTTTTTTTTTTTAATAACGGCAGGCACTTGAACTTTCGTTCTTCACCTTGGAAGATCCCGGAAGTGTTGCTCATTTAACGTTACTTGGTGGGCACCTGTGAACCTAGGTCACAGAGGCGAGCAACATGACCCACGCCACACTGCCACAAACCCGTTCATAGGGCGGGCCACATTCACGCATCACACACAACAGAGGACAACACAGAGAGAAACATCCATGCCCAGAGCGGGATTCGAACCCGCAACCATTGGCTTCGCAGTCAGGCACGCTAACCGCTCGGCCACCTGGCCGGCCATATTCATTTGGAGGTAAGTTTATATTTAATTCGGTTACATATAATGTATGTAAAGGATAAACCTGGATGAAACAAATTAAATAAAGTTGTTTTCGATCTATAAAGTGATACATATGTAATAATTAAATAAAGTTGCAGGCTGACAACTGAAATTGTGCTCTAATTAAATACTTTAATATAAAATTAAAATATTTGAGTTAATTAAAAATGAAGTTATTAAATTATAAAATGAAATAAGTTATTTTAAAGTCGGTATTATTTCATTCTATTTGGGATGTGAAGAAATTTTCTTCGAAACCCAATTTCAAAATAAAGTTTAAAAGTAATGAGTATTTAGTAATTTAAATGTACCCCTACATTCGAATTTTAGCCCCTTCTAAATTTGAGCTTAAACAACAGCAAACGCTTAATATGAAGGGGAAAAAATTATTTTTCGGTAGAAAAAGTCTAATTTTACTGGACTTTAAAGAGATATGGTATAAGAAATTCGTATTCTTAGTTTCTTGTTCTAAATTTAATAGATTTCCTAATACAGATAGAAAATAAAATTTACCTTTAAATTTACTAATACATTACTCAGTCCATTTAAAAATCTAAAAAGCATAAGTTTAGACACCAGTTTTGACTTTAACCTCTCTTCAATTTTATTTATTTATTACTCTTTTTATAACCGTTGTTGAACAGCCGACCCAATTTTGGGTTTACGAATACTCATTTTCAATACTCATTTCGAATACTCATTTCCCAGCCTTCTCATTTTGAACCTAATCTAGAAGACAAGAAAACTCCTGGATCATTACCCCAAGAGGTACGATTTGTTTTGGAAACATTGAGGACTTTGTAACTCGATGGATTTAACGTGCATCAGTCACCATCCTCACTTCATTTTTTTTACAACCGTCAATGAACAACCGACCCAATTTTGAGTTTACGACTACTAATGTTCAACTTCGTGACCTTGTCATTTTGAACCAATCCAGAAGACAAGGAAACTCCTGGATCAGTACCCCCAGAGGTATTGATTTGTTGTGGGAACATGGAGGACTTTGAGACTCGACAGATTTAACGCGCATCAGTCACCATTTACTACACGGGGCGTTTTCGGCCTGCGGGAATCGAGCCCATGACCTCTTGGACGTGGGCTAAGTGCCCTACCTACTAGGCTATCCCGACCCTTCAATCCACTATAAGTCAAGAACAATGTAAGAAATTGTCGGCAACATGGGATTATTTTAAATTTCGTTGAGCACAATTGCAGATGTGTGACACATCTAGCCGGTTGTCCAAACGCATGTTAACGTATCTGAATTAAATCCTTTGATAATGGCAGCCCCGTTAGATGAACAGGAAGACCTTTACAAATCTAACTCTACAGAAAGAAACCTCGAGGTCTGGATAAGTGGCTGTTCGTCCAATCTATCGGCAGGGACTAATATAGGCTATCGGTGAGCCTATCCCAGATTGCATAATATGGTTTATTTTCCCTCAACAAAAAACTTTTAATGTAAACCTAAAAAGGCTTGTAATACGGTTTACGTGTAAACCTTCTAACCTTAAAACGAGATCTGTGACCATCTGTTCTGTTCTACGCACATTTACCCTCATCCAAAACCTTGGAAAACAACATTTTATATAAAAACCTTACATCGAGGTTGACTTAGGGTTTTCAAGCGTGAAAAAATCCTTTCATAAAGCTAGTCTCGAGGGGAAAATAATCTTAAATCTAGGTCATTATAAGGTTTGTTTTTGCAACGTCTTGTATGCTCAGCTAAAATCCACCTTGTCATGAAATTTTAAGGGGCATTGCAATTTGATCCTATCACTAGTGTGAGGTCAGCTAAAACTTAAAATAAAAACCTAAGTGACAATACTTTTTGAAAAAAGCTTTAAAAAAATAATTTTTAATCCTTTTGGGATGAAAGGTTTGAACTGCAATATTTTTACTTTATTGAAAAAAGGTTTTTAGTACAAACATTTTCGTGTCAATAAAAAGAAAATTCCGACACAAGGTTGACGTAAGGTTACATGCTTTCTGGATATCTATCTAATATAGGCTGACTATGGTATCGGTGAGGAAGATATTCATCAAGGTAGGCCGCACCATCCAACTGGAGATTTAAGTTGTAGTTCAAACATCAACCAACCACTTAACAAACCAACAAAGCGTGACATAAAAAAAATGGTAGGGAAGGCTTAGGAAACTGCACAGAACAACACATTTAACTTAAGACAATCTGTGGGATTTTCTGTTCCAACATTCACTTGAATATTGCATATATCAGAATCATCGCAGGATATGGATTACCGGCTCGATTTGTGTCGCACATCTAAAGGTCTGGTTTCTTAAGACAAGCGCCTTATCTGGGCGTCAGTGGGACGTTGACGTACCGCTTTCGCCAACAAAATACTGGTTTGTTAGCTCAAGGCCTGGTTTCTTAGGACTAGCGCCTTATCTGGGAGTCAGCGGAAAGTTGACGTAGAGCTGACGCCAAAAAAAAAAACTTTTTTGTTAGCTCAGCGTGAGCAGTCGGTCCAACGCAGACATTATCTCTCATTACGCATGCTTTAATAACGTATACAAATATTTATCTTGAATTTGTATTGATTTTGTTATTGTCGACCAGTGTTTTAGAGAACAAATAATGACTTTGTCCAAGAAAAAACACATTATAGCTATAATTATATAAAGAGTGCTATGTTTAATGAAGAAGCTATGTTTAATGTCAAAATCAAAATCTTGGCTGATTTCAATGTGCTGTTGGATGTTGTCCGCCATTGCTTCTGTGGTTAACGTCACGTTGTAATCCAACTGCAGTTGAGTTGGACGGCAATTGTAGTTCAAGATGAGCGTTCGATGACGTATACTATCAAACTCACAAATGGACCAATCAGAGGTTAGCGCTGATTTCCAGCTGACGGCGTCCTGTCCTAAGAAACCAGGCCTTTTAACGCATACAATTCTGTTGCAAGTAACATTGCTCTTAATTTGTACTTCTCGTATTTTACTTGAGATTTATACTTGCATTGTATACTTCTTCCTGCATTCACATAATGAGCTTACAAATATTTCTTAAGGGGAGATTTTTTTTAACAGAATCATATTAATAGAATCAGTGAACTCTCGCTACTACGATATCCGATAGAACAACAACTCCCTCTATTACAATACTGTTTCGTGGTCCTGACGAACCTGTATATCAATTAATGTTATCCTCATCTCCATATTACGATATTCTCTGAAGCAATAAATCCCTGTAAAATGATTTTCTTCCCCAAGTTCAACCTTATTTTCTCGATTTATTATTGGTTTTCAAATAGTGTAAAAAATCTTATTTTATCATCTTTTGCCATTTTTTTCTGACAAGAGAAGACTCACTGCTGACCACCAAAAGAGCATTCTTTCTTAGAATTGTCTCTTTTATTTCTTAAGAATAAGTCACAGGTGTAACATTCCTATCTGATTTCATTTCCTTCATGTTAAAAGCTGATCATGAGTCACACACACGCATCGCATTAACACCTGAAAGAGAATTTTTTCCGTAGAGAGTAGGTGGATCACCATTCACAAACGAAAATCATTTTCGTACTTTGAACTCAATGCATACTTTGTAGGTGATTTAACCATTTGTTGGGGAGGGGGTACCATTTACAAACGAACATTATTTTCCTGCTTTGGATTCAATGCATTCTTTGTTGGTTGACTTAACAGTAAAAAAAATGAATAAACAAACAAAAATATCGGATAATTTTCAATAAAAACGGTTTCCAGGTATGTTTATGATCTTATTTTCCGAATTTATTTCAATTGCTTTTAGTATTTAACCATAATTAACACTCTGCAAACTATTTTTTTTTAGATAAAATATAAATAGTTAATACATATATGACATTATATCTTATTCTACCCCCTCTATATAGCAATATATCCCTCAACAATAATATATTTATTTGGTGACCAAAATATTGTTGTACCGAGGTTTTGCTAGAAATTTATAGAAAAAAAATAATAAAAAGTGGCATTCCAATGATGGAAGCATCATTTGCAAATGCTAAGTTGCTTTAAAAAAAGTGTTGTATTGAAAGTTCATTATTATAGTAGAGGGATAATATTTCAAGGCTGAACGAATAAAAAGAAAAAAAGCTTATAAAACTGAATGAAGAGAAAAATCAAGTTTAGATTCTTTAATAATTTCTAATCAGATTATAAAAAATAAGTTTTCAAAATTCAGATCTGAACGGTCAATTGTAAGTTAGCCATTATATAATTACAAATAGCCATTATATAATGGATACCATTGCTTCCCGCAGCACCGTCATTAGAATTGATGTCATTCCTGTACAAATATTGAACATCGTAAATTTAGACTTTTCCTTAATAGATGGAATTGTTCAACATTTCCGATGTTTATATAGACATTATTGGATCCAATAAAAACCGTTGAATCAGAAGCCCTTCGTTTAGTGTTAATTGAAGCTCTAAGATTGTGTTGACTCAACTGTCCAGATGGAAAATTTAATCCTTTTTATTAAATTTTCAAAACCAAACTGAAAGGTAGACTTTAGCTGGAAGAATCTTTCGATACATGTAAAACCATCGCTCAATCAGAATTTGCTCAACAATCAGCAGTTTTTGAAAGGTAGTTAAACAGTCGTCTGATTTTAACTTTTTTAATAAGTATCTTAGCCTTTGTGCATAATTTTATCTTGGTTTTTGTTTCATAATTTTACGTTCATCCAAATCAGTTTACTTCATTATAAACTGTAAATACGAATAAAAACTGTTCTAATAAAATTATATATAAACTGTTCTAATGAAAGTAATATTTAAAAAAATCTAAAAGCTAACAAATCGCGCATTTAAATTTTTTTTTTAAATTTTGACGAAGACACTTACGAAAGCATCGACCCCCATTCGACCCCCTGGCTCAGATCGACCCCCGATTATGTTAAATAGACCCCTGGGGGTCTATATAGACCACTTTGGCGACCTATGCCTTAGCCATTGAGCCACCGCGCTGAGGGTGACAAACCAAATGTTTTTAGGCTGGGATAGCCTGGTTGGTAGGACACTAGGTCCATGTCCAAGAGGTAGTGGGCTCGATCCCCGCCGGCTGAAGACTCCCAGTGTAGTAAATGGTGACTGATGCATGTTAAATCTGTCGCGTCACAATGTCCTCCATGTTCCCATAGCAAATCAATATCTCTGGGGGTACTGATCCAGGAGTTTCCTTGTCCACTGGGTTGGTTCAAAATTACAAGGCTACGGAGTTGAACATTAGTAGTCGTAAACACAAAATTTGGGTCGGCTGTTCAACAACGGATATATTAAGAAAAATGCCTTTGTTCATTTTTATTAACCAAATATTATTTTCTTTTACACCTAACTCAATTTAGTTACCATTTCTACCGGCATTTAGAAAAAAATGTTTACTAGTTCAGTTGTTCTCGAACTTTTTCGAGTCATGATACCATTTCTTTTTATAAAAGATTTTCCTCGCCTTAAATAAGAGTACGACGTTCGAACAAATCCACGACCAACAAAATCGCTCATTCTACAAAAATGCTAAGCTACCCCCCTTCCAATAAAACATTTCATTACAGTTTATGATTAACCCCTTCAGGACCGGCAGACCGTGGAGGTCCTGGAGGGATTAAAGTAGAAAACATCTTTTTCAAAATAGAGGATACATTTTCTGGGGTGAGACACAGAAAATACCAGTTCTAAAAATTTATTTCTACACACAAATTCTTAAATAACGAATAAAAATCTCTTTAAAAAGAAAATCAGAACAGGAGGAAAAAAAACATATATCGTGCATAACTCGATCACGATATCCAATCATCGAGATCGCGAGAATTTTTTCTCTGTTTTGTTTGTTCATTACGTTACACTTGGTATCCTCTGTATATTTTTAACAAATAAGTTTCACGCTCCAATATGGGTATGCTGAAGTTTAAGTAATATCAGTGATTTTGTACCTAAAAGTACGGAAAAGAAAAAATAAACGAAACTCCTCCCCTTTTTGTCATTCACATTTATTTTATTTTATTTAAGCGTTATATTGAACAGCCGACCCATTAATATTCAACTCTGTAGCAATTTCATAACCGTCGTTGAACAGCCGACCCAATTTTTGGGATTACGACTGCTAATGTTCAACTCCGTAGCCTTGTAATTTTGAACCCAAGACAGAAGACAAGGAAACTCCTGCATCAGTATCCCCAGAGCTTGTGATTTGTAATGGGAACATGGAGGACTTAGCGACTCGACAGATTTAAAGTGTATCAGTCACCATTTACTACACGGGGAGTCTTCGGCCGGCTGGGATCGAACCCACGTCGTCTTTGACATGAACCCAGTTCCCTACTATCCCTCATCGGGTCAAACTATCCTTCGTGAAGGACTTTTCGAGAAACTGTGGTTTCCGTATGGACTAGCCATCGCTGTAATTCGAAACAGGATCGCCTCATTGGGAGACGCTATCAACCCCTCTTAGGCCTTCACACGGTTCACTTAAGCAGTCTGAAACCTCCTGTCTTCTAACTAACATTCATTAACGCTTCAAACTGGACAAGAATTGATGAAATTTTAATTTTGACCATTAAATTGTTTTACGTTTCTAAATCACATCAGCACACGTATATGATTTTTTTCTTTTCTAGAATTTATGCTCTCTTCTTTTAAAAAATGATTGCTAATAAACGATTAAAAAAAATTGTGAAGTAGGCTGAATAAACGGTGACAAGGACCTCTTATTCAATTAATACCTTTACAGTCGAAATCTTTCTATTGAATCAGGAGACACACGAAACTGCCAATCGTTTCCTTTTATTGCTACTCTTCTTAAATATCTAAAACGATAAAAACCTTTTTAATTTAGTGGACTGTTTGACCAATTCTGGATTTTATGAAAGAAATGAATGAGGGTTACAAAGTTAGTAATTAATCTTGTAGAACTGAAATAAAACTGCTTCAGATTTGGTCAACCAAATTTGCTTTTCAATACCCAGAAAGGACGTAACCTTACGGCAACCTTGTGGTCGGAATTTTATTTTTATTGTCACGAAAATGTTTGTGCTAAAAACCTTTCTTTCAATAAAGCAATAATGTTGCAATTTCAAACCTTTCATCGTAAAAGGATTAAAAATTATTTTTTAAAGCTTTTTTTAAAAAAGTATTGTCACTTAGGTCCATAATGACGTTTTAGGTGACGTCACACTAGCGTTAGGATCAAATTGTATTGTCCATTAAAATTTCAAGACAAGGTGGATTTTAGCTGAGCATACAAGACTTTGCGGAAAGATACCTTATAATGACCTAGATTTAAGATTATTTTCACCTTCAGACTAGCTGTATTAAAGGATTTTTTCACGCTTGAAAACCATAAGTCAATCTCCATTTTAGGTTTTTATATAGAGGGTTGTTTTCCTAGGATTTGGATCAGGGTAATGTGCGTACAATATAGCAGATTGTCACAGATCTTGTTTCAAGGTTAGAAGGTTTACAAACGTAAACCGCATAACAAACCTTTTTAGATTTACAATAAAACGTTTTTGCTGAGTTAAAATAAACCTTATTTTGTGATGTGGGAATAAGGATTATTCCAATTAATTATGTAGAGATTTAAAACCTTAGAGCAGTGATTTTAACCTTTTTTTTGTCGCGGCACACTTTTAACGATTTCGAAATTTGACGGCACACAAAGTAAAAAAAATGGATTTAAAAAAATGTTTGTTACCTATCAGGACTCGAAAAATCGCCCGTCCTCGGTGGTCAAAAATTCCCCGCGGACAACGAATTTCTCGAATCCGACGTCCGCGCGGACGGCCATTTTCCCGTTAATGTTCTAGATACATTTTCAATTTTTGTTATCTTATAAGAGTCTACAACCTCACTTCTAAAATGACCCTCTAATCTAAAAATACAACAACATACTGCGCATGGGGGAATTGATGTTTTCTCTGTCTGGGAGTACTGCAGAGGTTGAAAGGGCTTTTCAGCAATGAACTTACAAAAAAACACATTACGTACTGGTCTGAAACAAGAAGCGTTAAACGCAATTATGAGCATCTACCGAAATGGAAAACCTCTTTCAGATTTCTGTGCAGAAACCTCTATCAATCATAGACTTGATTGTGGAACTGGCAAACGTCCTATTTGATTCATTTAAAAAACGCAGTACCCTCGGATAAATTGACATTCCAGATAACTTGGACCTTTGTTATTTAAATTATTTCATAAAAGACATACTAGGTCACTATTAGTAACCTAGTATTTCGTTTATTACTGTACAATGTATTCCTGGTAACTACTAATTCATTGTGCAATTTATATAAATGTTTGTAATAAATAAGAGAAAATTATATTTTTATTTATTTAGAAGCTACGGGTTAGTTTCAAAGGAGGACGGGTACAATGTTGAACAAGCCGTCCTCGGGGACGGGTAAAATTTCTGAGTTTTTTCGAGCTCTGTTACCATTGTGCTAAATAGTTCATGATAACAATTTTGAATGTGAAATAAAATCTGTACTGCAGAAACAACAGTACGTTTATTAAGGGATTAATTGCAAGTTAATAATAAGAATAATTGTTTCCTTTTGTAAGTTAATACTTAGCTTACTTTCCACTGTTAATTAATAATTTAAATGGTCATTAAATTTCCTACTTATTTAAACAATTTTAGATTGTCAGGACTATCGCCACAAATGTTCACGCCGTTAAGGGGTCACAGTACCTTTGCAACAATTTTTTAAAATAAAGGTATAATCATTCATTTTGAGGATGCTTTACATGCTCATTTAAGTTATAATCAATAATTTATCTTTAAAAAATGATTAAACTGTTTAATTTTTTTTAAATTTTAAAAAAAGTGGAAAAAATTCTAAATTTTTATATCCCTAAGGCTTTTTTATTTTAACATATTTTCAAAAAAAGTTTTTTTCATAGTGCTTGCAATATTTATCTTAACAATTTTGTGCATTCATTTGTTGATATATCAATTAGAATATTTTTTATAGATTATTTTGTAAAAAAGTAGAAAAAAAAGGGTAAAAATTCCTGTTAGGTATATATAACATGCCGTAAAAATTGTAATACCTCATAAAATGCTTATTCCATGCACAGTTTAAATAAGTGTATTATACTCAAGATAAAAAAGTTTACTTCAAAGCTTTATCTTAAATAGAAAAAATTCCTTAGGGATTTAATTAAGATTAAGACACAAAATTATCATCTATGCGAAAAAGCACTTTAAAGTCAGACTGCTGAGCAAGTTTCTGTATTAGAACAATTTAAAATCATTCATAACTTTTTTAAAAATGTAGATAGAGAGATGAATTTTTTTCTGTACATTTGAAATACTTTGAAGTTTTATTATAAGCAATAAAAAAAATTTTGGTATTTTTGTCATTTTTTGGGTACTGTGACCCCTTAAAGTGTATAAATATTATAAAAATATATATGTATTAAATTTTAAAGCTTTCAAAGGTTTGAGGGAACGGGAATAAAATAAGATAGAAAAATTTTTCTTGAACACCCTACGTCAAAAAATGTAATAAGCTTTTAATTTGGTTATTATATTGGATTAGGTTATTATTTGCAGTAACGACATAAAATTTCGTAAGAATAGCTTATGGAATATTCAATAAATTGTCACGAAATTTTCAGGGTGAGTGTTAATAACAAAAATATAAATTCATAATTTGAGATAAATTCGTTAAAAATTGCGCAAGATATGAGTATTTAAAGTAATTCTTTCCTGCTGCGCATGCGCGGGATATAATTTAAAAAAAACACTTCGTAATTTTACTCCAAATCATATTTGGTAAATTACATTTAAAAAAAAATGATTTGAGTTTCCTGAAAATTCAAAAAGTTTCTTGCAAATTTTCTAAGCAGCTTTTGTTCTTATCTTAATAAAGCTCTAAATTAAATAATGTGGGGTTTTCAACAAATTTAATTTTGTACCTTACCATTTTGTAACAAAATTTAACAACAAATAATAATATACTACAGTGATTATCTGGAACATAAAATGTGATGGTATAAGGAAAGCAAACATATGAAAAAAACATGCATGGTTTTGGCAAACATCACACCTCGTAAAATTCAATCGTATTTTATTTTTTTTTAACGAGAGGCATTGAATTCTCGTTCTTTGCCTCCGAAGATGCCGTAAGTGCTGCTCATTTGATAGTACCCGGTGAGTACCCGTGAACCCACGGAGCAGAGCAGTATTACCCAGGCCACACCGCCATAGATATAGTTTGTCTACGGTAAGAACTCCCCCAGCCATAAATTCTGAGGCCGTCTGCTGCTATGGAAACAAGAATATGGGGGGTATTTCCTCTTCACTCTATTAGGGCTAACATAATAGACAGTAGAAAAGGATTCCCTTTCTGTCTCCAAACCGAACCAAAACCTGTCCTAAACAATGACCGCACACCCTTACTTGAATTAGTTATGCCTCGTTACCATAGTCACCGCCACGGGTTCAGAAGAATGGATATGGGAGTTCTTACTTTAGACAAACTATACCCGTTCATAAGGCCGCATTCACATATCACACAGCAGAGGGAAACATCGAGCAGTATTCGAACCATTGACTTCACAGTTAGGCACGCTGACCCACCTGGTCGGCAAGGAAATGTTTATGCGAACAGACGTCACTTATACAAAGAATTTAAATACGCTGCGTAATTGTCGGTTCACTGTGAAGTTGTAATTGTCGAAGGTACAGACAAATTGTTGGAGCGTGAGTAGTGGTTTTTTTATTTTTTTTATAATCGTCGTTGAACAGCTGACCCAATTTTTGGGTTTACGACAGCTGATGTTCAATTCCGTAGCTTTGTAATTTAGAACCCAATCCAGTTGAACATCAGTAGTCGAAAACCCAAAATTTGGGCCGGTTGTTCAACGACGGCTTTAAAATGAATAAAGGTAGCAGGGGTGTTTCAAGAGGTAGTGTTACTAAAAAAGAGTTTGTTGATTGAAGAAATTACTATTTGTTAAAGATTATGTATTAACCATTCGTTGAAGATGATGCTAATTGGCGTATTTTCAGTTGTCCATATATTTGGGGGGAGAGTAGATATCGACCATGTCAACCTTCATTTATGAGAAGGTACCCCAACATAGAATCGAGTTAACATGTCTTATATACTAGGGAATAGTCGTACTAGGGAATTAGAATTGTGTTTTTGTAGTGGAGATATACACTGCATATTCTTCCAGTTTGATGAACTCTTTGAATGAAGAATTAAATTCGATAAATAATAAAAATGTTTTTTTTTCTTTCAGAAATATGAAATGATACAAAATCATATGGAGCTTCTAAGTAAGAAAATGATTCCTTTTTATGTGCATTGATTCAATTGGTTGTAGTTCATTAAATTAATGAATTTAGAAAATGCCCCGGAGGGTGCAGCTGCAGGGCTAAGTCCGGCAGGACACCTCCGTCAACCAAGAAATCATACATTCCTAGGTTAGCATAGTTTTCGCCAGAGAAAGTTAAGAAATCCATATATTGGCTGTTAATTGATTTAATTTATAGCCAAAGTTTTTATTTCTTAGCTTTACGCATTTAAAAGTGTTGGCGGAAAAGAAAGTGTGAGAAATAATAACAAATTCAAAACATTAGCAACCATAAAACGGTTTTCAAATTCTATGCTAATGTGTGTATCTCTGAAAATAGATCTTATCCTGCACTCAATTCAAGGTTGTCGTGGTTTAAAATGATTGTATGAATCATTTTTATTTATATTAAAAAGGGATTAAATAATATGATAATTTGTTTTTTAAATGTTAATAAACATGTTATGCAAATTTTAGCATGACAGTATCGAAGATTTCTTCCGCATTATTTGAAATGCGGAATCACAGAGTAGACGAAAGTGTGAGTTCAGTTATCATGACAGACGATCGTTAAGATTGTTGTTGTTGTAGTTCATTTACGTCGCGCTAGAGCTATTGGTGACGGTCTGGAAAACATCCCCGAGGATGATCCGAAGACATGCCATCACAATTTTGATCCTCTGCAGAGGGGATGGATCCCCTGCCTCGGTAGCCCGACGACCTGCACTCGAAATCGAGCACTTTACGGTAGAACAGTTTTACGAGAACCATCCTCGGACCCTACGCAGACTGATCCACGTCTACCTACCTACCAAAGTCACTACAGAAATTAATGCCAAAAATCGTGCAAGCACTAAAGCAATCAAAACAGAACTGGATATTTCTGGCTCTACTTCAAAACTCTTTAAATAAAAATGGTAATAACAGGGAAAAGTGGTGTTTGAGTCCTGGAGCATGTTTTCAGATCAGTCTTCTAGCCGAGCATGGAGAACCAAGCGTATGATACAGACTACCCCGGAGTGAAACATGGATCTCTGATGGTTTGGGCAGCAATAACGTGGTTTTCAAAAGGCTCCATGATAATTTCGCAAGGGTTTCTGATCGTGATGGGTTGTTCCAAGATAACCCGTTTACACAGCTCATATTGTCCAGGAATGGTTTTCTGAGCACGAGGATGAGCTATCACATCTTCCCTGGCAAACACAGTCACCAGATCTCAATATTATTGTGGTCCATATTGGAGAGAAAAGTGCGTGGTCATTATCCACAGCCATCGTCGTTATCCAAACAAAAAACGTTATGCAAACAAAAATTGTATTTACCTTTTCTGCGAAGAACTGCAAACTGTAGTCAAAGCCCAGCCAACGGTTTCCCATATTAGTCAAGGACACGTTTTATATTTTTTAGGTCATATTTTTGTCTAAACCCTGCATGTTTCAATTCGCATGTCTTCCTTCTTATACCTGTTCCGTGCTTCTAATAAATCTACCCGATTTATCAAAGCTATAAGAATAACTTAAAATTCTAAAATAAATATCTGCGTTTTATCAAAACAACCATTTTATTATAAAACTTTAGAACAACAATCTTTTTACGTTGCCACTCAAAATTATTAATATACACTTGATAATATTGCGTTAATGATAATATTACATTTTTATATACACTTTTAACTAATAACGTCATAAATAATCGTTTGCATAAAGTTTGGTTCATAATAATCATTGCATAAATAATCGTTTGATCTTTTTACGGCTTTACATAACAATACCATCACATTATGTAGTCCTGAGAATCATTGTAGAATATTATCATTTGCTGTTAAATTTTGTTACAAGATACAAAATGAAAATTGTGAAAAACCCCTTAACATTTAAAGTTTTTTTAAGATAAGTACAAAAGCTACTTAGAAAATTTACTAGAAACTTTTTTAATTATCAAGATATTCAAATCAGATTTTTTTTTTTTTTTGTGTGAGTTACCTTATACGATTCAGAATAAAATTATGAAGGAAAAAATTTAAATAATTCCCGTGCATATGCAGTATGAAACAATTACTTTAAATGCTCATATCTTGTGCAATTTTCAATGAATTTATCTAAAATTATAAATTTATAATTTTGTTATTAACTAGAATTTACTCTGAAAATTTCGTGCGTACGCACAGACGCAAATAATAATAATAAAAAAATACTGATGATAATAATAATAAAGAAAATAAGGGAAAAAATATTTTTTTAAAGGGGAAAAAAGAGATTATTTGAATGAAATTGTTAAAAATATTGAAAATTTAAAAAAAAATATTTAAAAAAAAATTAAATGAGCCGCAAAACGAACAATAGTGTCAGGGAAAGAAAAAAAAAAAAACTCGAAATGAAAATAAAATATATTTTTATTATTTTATTTAATAACAAAAACAATTTTGAATTGTAAGATATGCAGTTTTTTATCCATTTTAAATGTAACACTTTTTTGAAACTTGATTTCTCAGGAACTATTCAATCGATATTGCTCAAATTTTGTATTTTGTCCTATAAAATTACGTATTTCTTAATGATAATTTATTTTCAATTATTATGAAATAAAATAGTAAATATTTACTAAAATTTATTTTTCGTATGATATTATCTTTGGACAGACGAATTTTACAGTTGTGTGCAAAAAATTTTAATCCGCTTCTCGAGATCTTTGGACCCCTCTTCTCACCAGACTATGGGGACCATATTTCCCAGATTGCGACTACCCCCTATATTTTGGAGGTCAGAAATCCGAATCCGTTGAAAAAAAATTCATGTTTATTCAAAGAAAGTACGATTTTGTGTCTGATTTCGTAACTTAAAATATCGTCTGCACTAATTAATTAGCATACTTGAGGTCACCCCCAAGAAACCATTGAGTCCTAGAACGTGAAGATCCGATCATTATATCAAAAGTTGTTCAAGGCGATCTTTTAATTGTTATTATTTTGGTGCACAGTACATACATTTAAAGCGAGCGGCGAGTTCAAACATCCTTTTATTTACTGACTTCTTACAAAAATGATTTCGTCACTAATTTGCCAGATTACAAAATATGAAAATAAAACGGAAATAGAGGATAGTGGGATGTAGTTTATGGCGCATTCTTACTGAAGTATAGAATCGCAATTAATTTGCTGTTACCTTGGATTACCCCGAAACTGGATAGCGCATGGCTATTACATTATACTGGATAATTCAAAATATTAAAAGGTTAAATTTTTATTATAACATTTTAATTTTGATGATTTTTAAAAGAAATTATTAAAATTTATTGAAAAACTCTTCATTAAGTATTAGATGAATTTTAGCCATGGATTTGCACATGGCAAACTGCCGATAGATCCGAAATCCGTTCTGCTCAGGCGAAATTCCAACTAAGCAAATTGCCGATAATCCTCTGTTTATACTTTGGTTTAGTTGCATATCAGCATTGTCGGTATCATTGTCAACAACTCATCTAAATAGTTATTAAGTTTAATACCGTAGCGGTGCGCTGCATGTCTTAAGGCATAAAGCGTTGTTTTTTTAATTCTCCTCTTATTCTCATGTTTTGACGAGAAAGTGGAAAATGACAAATCTCATGAATGACCAGCGATGGCTCGGGGGATAGATAGAGCGTTCGCCTTCCAATGACGTGAACCGGGTACGAATCACAGCGATGATCGATACGAAATCCGCATCCGGCTCGCACCGACTACAGTGCTGACGTGAAACATTCTCAGTGGTAGATGGATCTGGAGGTTAGAGTCCTTTTGCCATGAGGCTACAGTGGGAAGTTCTCGCGGTCTTCCTCTCCATGCAACGCAAATGCGAGTTAACTTAATCAAAAAGTCCTCCACGAAGGCAAATTTCTCCCAATACTTGATCCAGGAGTTCCCTTGTCTTCTGGATTGGGTTCAAAATGACAAGGCTACAGAGTTGAACATTAGTCGTAAACCCAAAAATTGGGTCGGCTGTTCAACGGTGGAAATTTGTGTTNTTGCTTTTTTAATTCTCCTCTTATTCTCATGCGTTGACATGAAAGTGGAAACTCAATTTCTCTTGGAAAATGACAAGTCTCATGAATGAGCCGCGATGGCTCGGGGGATAGAGCGTTCGCGTTCCAATGAGATGAACCGGGTTCGAATCACAACGATGGTCGATACGAAATCCGCATCCGGCTCGCACTGATCACAGTGCTGACGTCAAATATCCTCAGTAGTAGATGGATCTGGGGGTTACAGTCCCTTTGCGATCAGGCTACAGTGGGATGTTCTCGCGGTCTTCCTCTCCATGCAACGCAAATGCGAGTTAGCTTAATCAAAAAGTCCTCCACGAAGGCAAATTTCTCCCAATACTTAACCCAGGAGTTCCCTTGTCTTCTGGATTGGGTTCAAAATGACAACGCTACGGAGTTGAACATTAGTCGTAAACCCAAAAATTGGGTCGGCTGTTCAACGACGGAAATTTGTGTTCCTTTTCGTAATTAAACTCATGGTAAATTGTCGTTAAAAAAGTGGCTATTTTGTTTTTAAAAATGTCACATAGAGAATGTTTTTCTATTGTTAAAAATATTATCTTAGGGGGCATCTTACACATAGATATTAAATAAAAAGTCGCTTAAAAAGTAAATTCTTCCCAAGAAAATTTTTTTTTATTAGCAGTGTGCGTTTAATTAGGCTTTTTAATGAATTATTTTTTAATTATGCTTTTAAAATTACATCGAAAATCCTTTACTATTGGTATAAATTACAATCAATTACATCATTCTTTTTTCATTCGATCGACATTTCGCACTCGTAGAATATTTTCAGCAACGACAGAAGCGTCATTTTATTCCACGCGAAGGGAATTTTTCTACGTCACGTTTCGCGGCATTTTTGTAGAGTAAACAACATAGAATTATCAGTCAAACTATCTGCCTGATGATCTTTATTCGAACATGGCGAGAGGAGGTTGTCGTCCAACCAGATGTTCGAAGTGATCGTACGCCCTTAGATTTCACGATTTGACTCATTGTTTACAAACGATGGCAAATTTTTGTAATTATTTATTTATTTAAATCGGGGAATCCTTGACCAGCAGAGTTTGAAACCGATATTTTGTTTCTAGGTTTCATTATCATTCACTATTATCACTGTGCACTGATTATTATTCATTGTGAGCTCAATGAGTTTTTTTTTAAATCGTTTTATTTTAATCAGTTTTCTTAGACACGTTATTAAAGAATTACATTATTTGTAAAGAAATTGTCGGGTTATTCCGGTTCGTCTTTAAACGAAATGGCTTAAGAATACGCGTTTTAAAAAACAAACACAGCAAGAAACACGAGTATAAGAAAATGGACACATTCCGAAATGCGTTTTTTAGAAAATGGACACAGCTAATAATACGTTTTTTCGAAAAATGGAGAGATCGAGAAATGAGACTCAACGAAGAATTTCACACTTACTTGTACGCAAAACAGAGTCATTTACTGGGCAAAGTTTGGGGTATATTTACACTTTTAAGGTTTAAAACAGTTTAACCGGTTTTCTAAATTCAAATAATGTCAGTTTAATAATTAATTTATAAACTTAAAACAATCTTTTTTTTTTTTTTTTTTTTNATACAATCTTTTTTTTTTTTTTTTGAAAAAGACTTGTTAAAAATAAATAAAGTGATTAGGGTAAAAAGAAAACAAATTAATTTAGATTCAATAGGTTTTTGAAAAAAAGGGGGAATAAGAAAAAACAATTTTTATGAGTTTTTTTTGTGAAATACGCAATTCTAGCTGTTTTCAGAATAAAAAGTTAAAATGTATTCGTATTAGATTAAGTTCTTAAAATCATTTGTTTTGTTTAGACTTTCAATTTAAGAACCTTAAAAGCCCTAATTCAATTTAGGAACCGTAGAAGCCCTAAGCACTGAATACATTTTGATGCTCCTTAAATGTAATTAAGAATTTTGAAACAAATAAAAAAATTAATATTTTTCTTTACTAAAATTAAAGTAAGTTAACAAAAATAAATTTATAAACTAACAAATTTAAACGCTGATGGTAACCATCAACCAATAAGCGCTTTCAAAATTCTTAGATAGATTCTTTATTGGTAAAAGAGAAATTTCAAAGCAAGAAGAAATTTGGACAATTAAGGCTTTTAATTAGGACAGATCAAACACCTGCATCAAGTAAAAGCAGCAATGCAATTTAGAAAAGAAAAAAAAAAAAAAAAAAGAGAGAGAGATTGATAAGAAAAAGATTTTCGTTCATTTCAAAGTTGGTTGTAATTTTGCTTACGTGCATCTGCTGACATTCTTTTTTTTTCTGTGTTGGAGAATTTTATGTTCCAAAGAATGCATGCATCGTAACGTATTTTTCTTGTTAACTCTACGAATTTTTTGCATATTTGATGAGTTAAGACGTTCAATTCGATGGAGGAAAAACTCATCTAACTGAACGTGTTAATTGACATTTAAGTGAAAAATGAAAATCACTTGCTGTTCTGGATTAACAAAATTGATTTTGGCGCACAAATTTGGAGCCTAATTGCACCAAAGTTGTGCTTTTTGCTCAATGATAATGTGAGAGCCTTGGAGCAATTTCAGAAAAAAAAAAAAACGGCATTTTGGACCCTGCTGATTTAACTCAAGCTGTAAATAATTCTTTTTATGTTCATATTATTGACTAAAAGAAAATTCACGATTTAAAAAAAAAAAAATTTAAATATTAATTGCATCACATTTATGCTTCAAAAACATATTTTAATTTTAAAATCTAGTCATTGAGGCTATTTTTTTCTTCTTTTTAATTGGCTGAGTAGTTAGGTGTCTGAAAAATTTCATAAATCATCTGAAACATTCGAGTTAAGCAATAAAATAAGTGAAAAAAATACAAAGCAAATATTTTTTTTTTCTGCAGAATTATATTCTAAAGATACTTTTCTTGTTCATCAGAAAGGAAAGAAATACTCCTGATTTTTCTGTTCTCATTTCGAAATAAAAAAAATTCGTCAATGACTAGTTTGCTTCAGTTAGAATTTTAAATTAAATAAAATAAAAAAAATCTGAAATCACATAAGTTTAAAAGATTTTTCGCTCTAGATGATTTTTATTTCATTTTTTTAAAGAACACGATAAAAAAAATTTTATATTTTAATAAAATATGACTGTGGGGATTTTGTTACAAATTCAGATTTTCGGAACACCACAAAATTTGGGAAGGGGGAATTCCATTTTAAAAATTATATTTTTCGACGACCATTGACTTTTTTTATCCATGACTTTTTTAAAACATTTCATGACAAATTTTGTTCAATACTGAAATTCATGACTTTCCATGAGGGCAGATACCATGTTAATAACTAATATTGAGAATTAATAAAAAAAATTATAAGTTTTAATCTGATAATAATTAGCGAATGCTTTAATTTTACTCAATCTAAAAATCTGCCTAAATTGTAACATAAAAGAATTAAAAGCAATATTTAGATTGATAATAATTAACTAAAATTAGCTATTACCAGTAATCTAAACAGAGTAGTTATAATAATGGTCTTAAAGTACCATTCGAAAAACTAATAGTTTCAATAATTTTGCCAATATTTTTTATTTGTCATAGATGAAATAAATCATAGTTATTATAGTATACAATGGAAGTATTGTGCACGATTTAATATCTAATAAAATGTCTTTAATGTTACAAAAATAAACTTGTTGCAGGTTTTTGACAGTTTGAGTTTTCAAGATGGTTTAGCACATTTATTACTCTTCTTTCCAGACACACAGATACCGACATTGTGATAAACTTAACAAACTTTAATTGATGATTATCCAAATTCTAAAAACAGATAAAAGAATTGTATGGGTATACTTTTGCCAGAAATAACTGAAAGAGACAGTTTATATCTCAAATTCTGATAAAGCGATGGTCTTGTATCGTAGATCCAACAAAAGCTAGCCAGGTGACCGAGTGGTTCAAGGTTCAAATACCGGTCATGGCAAGGATGTTTTTGTTGTGTGGGTAATGTTGCTCTCCTCTGTGACTTTTAGGACGCAAGGTGATCAACAGGCAACGCAAAATGAGCAACAGTTCCAACATCTTCCATAGCGAAGAACTATAAGTTCAGAGTAGGCTCCTTTTTTTTTAATAACAGTCGACTCAATTTCTTTTTGTTTAAGACTACTAATGTTCAACTCTGTAGCCTTGTAATTTTGAACCCAATCCAGAAGACAAGGAAACTCCTCGATCAGTATCCATAGAGATATGGGAACATGGAGGACTTTGAGACTCGACAGATTTAACGTGCATCAGTCACCATTTACTACTCGGGGAGTCTTCAGCCGGCGAGGATATTGAACCCATGACCTCATGGACGTGGGCCCAGCGTCCTACCAATCAGGCTATCCCGAGCCTTCAATCCACTATAAGTCAAGAACAATGTAAGGATGAATTTTTAAAGACCTAATAAATACTTATGCCTCATTTAATTAAAAAATATTGACTAGAATCTTAAAATGTACAAACTTTCATTCATGTCAAAATATATAAAACACCTGTGGCAGAATTTTCTAGGGCTTCTGCGACAAAGCTCTTTCGAACAAATATCTTCCTTCAAGATATTTTTAATAATAACAAACACATATGTTACTCATTTAAAATAACAAAAGCGCTGTGTTTACAAATATAAATAATTGTTTGTAATTTAAAAATAATTTTTTTATTCTAATATTATAGGTGATATCTCGCATTTTGTTGAGGGGGGGGGGAGGACGTACACATTATTTCCCTCTTCGCATTTTGTAAATAATTATCCCAATAAAAAATTAGACGATGAAATCACGCGAATCGGTTTCCTCAAATGTGTGTTTCGTTTCGAGACTAGGTTGTCGTAATAAATAATATCGTATGAAAATATCTGATTTTAAAGCTATGGAGAAATCAAAGCAATCACTGCAAAAAATTCGATCGAATTATTGAGACAAAAAGTAAATAAATGCGCGTTTCTAATTTTCCATACTGTTTGAAATGTATCTGCATATTTAAAACCCACGTGAAAATCAATAAGTGCCGAAAATTCTATCGAAACAGTGAATTGATTTACGATACTATCGGAATAAATGGAGGGTTTCAAAAAGTCATTATCTAAATGCATGATTAAAATATTACGCGTAAATTTCTGAAGAAAAGTATTTATTTTCACTTTTCGAAAGAAAAATTTTCTGAAAGAACTCACATTCCGCGACAATGTCGCCGTGTTGCTGCAATTCTGCCACGGGGTGTAAAGCAATGCGTCACATGTTCTACATTCATTAAAGTTTCGATTAAATGTTATTACGAATGGTTGACACTCATATCTGTAAAACCACGAGTTTTCCCTGAACATATGACGAGGTAACATGCATTCCTGGTGTGCGATACTAGGATAACGACGCTAGTTTTTATAGCTGGAAAAATTTAGGAACAGCTTAACATAAAAGAAATCATGCTGTAATAAATTTAATATAGCTGAACTATCATCTTTATATATATCCCACGATTATGCTTTGAGAGATTTACATTTTTTTAAAAGACAAAAATTCCCTGTGGAGTGGCAACTCCTTATATGCTAAAAGGGAAAGTATAGACTCCTGAATATAATAAAAATCAAAAAAAGAATATCCCAAAATTTAAACTTCAATATGTAAAACGGACACCAAAAGTTATACAGTCAAAACCCGCTATAGTGAACGAAATGTTCGGTCCCGTGCCTTGCTCTACACGGATGTTATTTTTTGTGGATATAGTGAACCAAATAAGTGAGGAAGTTGGATATAATTAACTTTTTTCTGTCTTCGACTGATTTTTTGAAACAATTTTTTGTAATAATTTGGAAATTTCTACTTCAAATTAAATACATAGACCGATTTTCAAAACCATCTATAGAGGGGAATGTAGCGATAAGCATTTTTTCTTGTTTGCTTCTTTTATCTCACTTTCCCATCCTTAAGCAAACCAAGCAGATGTTTCCAACCCAGGCAGACGATGCACCTGTAAGGTGTCAGTGTGATCAATATGCATTTTCTGTCAGAGGGAATGAGTAATTATTCATTATTGGTTAAAGGGTTGGACACTAATATGAGTTGATAAGGCCCTCATTTCAACTCCTTTTTGCTCTCAGTTCAGTTCAAAAAAAACCTGCAAACAAGTGTCTCAAATTTAACTATGGCGAGCAGTAAACGTAAAACGTTCTCCATTGATGATAAAATGGGCATAATCAGAAAAATTTAAAATGGATGCAATCAAGCTGATATTTGCCGGGAATATAAACTATCCAAATCTGAAGTTCGTAACATATGAAAAAATAGGCAATTAATAATTTCTGCTCACGATAAAAATTTAGACGGCGGGAAAAAGCAGATCAGAAGAATGTTGAAGAAGAATTACTGAAGTGGTTCACCAATCGAAGAAGCCACAATCTTCCAGGATCTGGACAAATGTCGATGAATTTGAAAAGCGATTTTATGAGACTACTTTTATGTGCTCGAATGGCAGGTTAGAAAGGTTTAAAAAGCGGAATAACAGAAATTTAGGAAAAATTATATGAGAGTCGGGATGTGTTTCCATATCTGAAGTTGAGGATTGCTCATCAGCTAAAGATTACAAATTTTTTTTTGCACGCAAGACGAAGAGTAATAAAAAACAACATATTTTTTAGTCATATTGCCTGCGTAACGGATATACTGAACTCCCGGTTATAGTGAACCGAAATTTTGGTCCCTTGAAGGTTCACTATAGCGGGGTTTGACTGTATTCTAAAAAAAATTCTAAAAGAGAAAAAATGTTCAGAAATTCAAAATCTTTACCTAGAGTAAAAATTAGTTTTTTTGTTGATATTATCTAAATCTTTTAATGATGTTTGTTGTTGATGGTCAGTATTAAGATTCCAATCGTCATATTGACAGGGTGCATAGCCAAATCTTTCAAAAATAAGCACTTTTTAAGCATTCAAAAAATATTTTTAAGACCGAAATACATTAACAAATAGAAATAATTTTCAAAGAATTTACATGAGCATGACAAAATAACTAGCTTTGGACAAAGAACTCTTTTTCTTGATTCTATTAGCCAGCCTAAAAAGAACGTGAGATTTTTGGTTTGATATCAGAGGGTGGAAAATGAAGCTTGAAACTGAGAATCTTGCAAAACGCAGCCGAGTTGCACATGAAAGTGCAATAATCTCACCAAAACTAGCTCGGTAATCGCACATGCGGACCTAAACTTATTTCATCAAACCTGAAAAAGGATTGGCGCTTTCATATGCTACAGTCCGAATGAATTGTGAAACCGCGAATAAAACCAGTCTAATGAATTGCAAAACCACACTTTTGTGTAATACATGGCGAAAATCGCCATGGCAAAGAAAAAATTCTCTTTAAAAAGGGGATAATAAGATTTTATGTTGCACTATGGTTTAAGAGACTCTTACAAGCTAATTTTGACACATGTAGAAAATACATTTGTGCTCCCAATTCTTGCTTTTATTCTCAAACTCAGCAGCACGACAGTCTATTTAGGGCCAAGGCCTACAGTGGCCATCTCAGTTTTCTTGACCTTTGGGCTCTGGTGTGCCAGAGCAGATGGTAGTCAGCCCAACTCGAAACCTCCAGTGTTTAGCTCCCAAATATGCTTGGTACTCATTTTATCAACCCACTGAACTCATTATTACTAACAGTAATTTTTTGTAGAGAGAATTTTATCTTTAGACAGTTGCATTCTTTTTAAAACAATGTCAACATACACAAGGGATTTGTTTAAAAACAAGTCCTTTGAGAAATAATGTTAGGAATTTCCTCCATTAGATTTTTCAAAAGGTAGGAGGGAAGGAAAAAAATAAAAGGCAGCACAAGCAAGGTGTAGTGAAAAAGATTTCAATATTTATTATTATCTCCAGTGATGGTTTCCTCCCAAGAAAAAGATGAAATTGGAAATATTGTAGATGAGAGGTTATAAATAAGTCTTGACAATTATATATAAAAAAAGAACGAAGTAGCTTTATTTTAAAAAAAAGAAAAAAAAGAGCACTTTTCGGTCCCTCAACTTTAGAAAAAACAGAGAACAGGATGATGCCTACATTATTTGTTCAATCAATATATTACAACATGAGACATGAGATACTATGGCATAATGAAGTCCTATAGCTCTTCTTTCTTCTTCTTTCCAGATCTGTCGTACGATTTTAATTCACTGGTCGCGTGCTTGGAAATGTAATTGATGAAATCGTTCAAGTCCCTGCCTCCCTGTAACAAAAATAAACATAACACAATTATGACTTTTGCTTGCAGCAAGTTCATTATTAATTTTTTTCTGTCAAAAATGCATGGAAAAAATTTAACAGTATGCAAAATCTTAAAAAAATAAATTATACAGGGTGCATAGCCAAATCTTTCAACAAAAAATAAGCACTCAAAAAATATTTTTAAGCACTATATACATTAACAAATGTAAAATAATTTTGAAAGACTTTACATGATCATGATAAAATAACCACAAAAACTCTTTCTGACAAAAAACTCTTTTCTTGATTATATTATCCATTATAAAATGTTCAAAAGATTTTTAGGTTCCATATTAGAGGGTGGAAAATGAAGTCTGAAATTGAGAATATCTTGCAAAATGCAGCAGAGTTGCACACGAGAGTGCAATAATGTTACCGCACCCAGATCAGTAGACACACATAAAGACTCACAAGTATTTCAACAAACAGGTAAAATGATTGTCGCTTTCACATTAAGGGAAAATTTGGGTAATTTTCTAAAATGTACAAGAACCAGAATTTTTATTACACCAATTAGAAACCGGTAAAATAGAGTAGTCTACTGGTAAATCGAGCAGAGTTGGTAACTTTGTGTTAGTATTGAAAAAAAAAAAAAAAAAAAAAATTCACAAACATTCCATTCATAAACAAATACAAATGAAATACCGAGGCATGTAACAAGCAGGGACTAATCTTATTTTTGCACTATATTTGAATAAAAATTAACAAGATAATTTGGAATAATCCCTTCAACGTAGAGGCAAATGCGAGAAATGGTCAAAATAATTATGCTTTTTTAGAACACAATAAAATGATATGGAAGCATATAAATACTGCAGAAATATTTTTTAAGGATATTTTGAAATAAATTTATAATATATAAATCATTTTTATCATAGCACTCACTAATTCGAATCATTTTGATGCTCGACTTTACAGAATATGGTTTTATTATTTCTGACACTGTAGGGTTCACGGTTTTTACAATTCCCATGTTTTCATGAGAATCTCAATTTCTGACATTTTTAATTCATTACATTTTAATTCATAGGTTTAACAGCTTTTACAAGAGCATATTCAGTTATTTTACTATAAGTTATCTCCTTGTTTCAAAATGTCATTACTTCTTGAATTCTAGAATTTGAATAATTTCTTATCAAGAGATTACTTGATTGTTTAATATTCTAGTTAAAACTTCAATTTGTTCCAATATTTTTGCAATGGAATGCAAAATTTTTAATTGGCTATTCGCAAATTTTAAATGCAACTAAACATTTTAAATGATTTAACGATTTTAAAAATTAAGTGCTTATCAAATTGTTTTTGGTGAAAAATAATTTTACAAAGATTTTATTAAATCTACTGTACAAAGCGATAGTTTGAAATCTTCATTTGTATTATATTTTAGGAAAAATTAGAAGTCTCATTTAAGATGTAAATAGAAAGGAAAAAAAAAAGATTAAAAAGAGAAAACTCAAAATTGACAATGAAAAATAGAAAACAAAGATAAAAAGCAAAACGAGAAAAACAGAGGTGCCAAAGGCAAAACAGAGCAGGCTGCATTTTTAACTAGTTTGATTTATTGTAAACTGACAAAAGCTAGATATTTACCAATTTTAACGGAGACAGATAACATACGGATAAAGTTAACAAAATCTAAATTACTTAAATTAAAAAATGAATTGTAAAAAACCTTACCTCATATTTCTTGGGAGTAGTTTTGTGGGTTTTTGGTACCCAATATAAGGTAGGGAACCTGAAAAAGAAACAAAATTTTAAAAAAATTGCAGCAAACAGTCCAAGTAGTAGAAGATCTCATACAAAAGTAAAGTATTAATGTGTGATATTGAAATTATATTGAAGATTCTCACAAATATTTTAAGTTAATAAAAAAAAAAAAAAAAAAAAAAAAAAAACAATCTTTGCAATATTAATATAATTCAAATTTTTCAATACCAGAAATTTAGATTCCCTAGTAAATTGCTTTGATGGTTATAATTTTTTTTAAAAAAACCTTTCACTTATATTTTTTGGTAACCCTTGAAATATCAATTTCACAAAATTTTTTTAATTACTAATTTTTCCCCCCACATTCATTAAACATTACCTGAACACTTGAACATAATATATTACAAAATGCCTCTGTTGAAAATAATTTCTCTAATTATATCAAAATTGAAAAATCATTTATATTAAAAAAAAAGGAAAAAAAAGAAGACTATATTGACATGATTAAATATAGGTTTCTATCAATGACATAATACTAACCCATGCACTTCAAATGAAGGTGGTACATCGTTCGCAGTAGCGTCCATTTTAACAATAAGAACATCTTCATTGGCAAGCTGCAGAAGAAAAATATTAGAAAATAAAGTTTTTATTTAATAAGTACTCTCATATTATAAGTACGCTCATATTCAATAACGATGTAAGAAATCAAATTGATCTAAAAAAGAAAACAATTGATTTATATAAATTAGATAGAACAAACTAAACATACACTCCTAGAACTATGAGGAACAAGATATGTTTTCCAAATTATGGATTTTACTTTTAAAATTTATTAAATAGTAAAAAATACATATAATCATACTGCTTCAAATATTTTTAAAAAGTGTTGATCCAATGAAATATACTTTCAAAACAAATATAAACCTTGAAAACACAGACACACAAATTAACTTTATGTAAATAATTTCATATATTTTGTGAAATAGGTTCATATAATGTATTGCAAGCAAATAAGAAAAAAAATTAGCATCCTGGCAACACAAAACCATGTTTCTGTGTTTTGAAGGATGTTAATTGGGTATATCAGAGTTTTTCTAATGTTTCATCCTGGTTCTAATTCCTACACCATGAAAATTTCCGATAATGTTAAAGGTCCCAAATTTTATATTCTAACACATAAAAAAAATTTTTCTCTACAAAGATAACTCTTTTTCCGTTAAAAAAAAAAGACTTGTTTATTAAATTGGAACATTGTATAGACTGAACTGCATTACAACATTAAAATGAAATTAATCTTAAAATATGAGAAAGTAACTCACTATCATACAATATTAAAAAATATAAAAGGAAAAAAAACATTTTATTGTAATTCATATACTAGTACTAGAAGTGCACAACCTTTTTCAAAACAAATGTTGAGTCCTTTAATATCTAAACATGCTGACGACAATCATAATTTCTGGGTTCCCACTCAGTCTCAGAAAACAAATTCTGACTTTTCTAGGTGAATTTCAATGAAAATTGAGACCATATTTTCATCAGAAAAATTTGATTCTATTATTTGTAATAAGAAACATTAGATTTTCTGTGTAAAAAGATATTAAGTGAGGAAGGGAACAATTTCAGTTTAAATAAAATGTGAAATTTTTAAGGCTACACAGTACCCTAAAATTCGCAAAAATATGCAAAAAAATATTTTTGCATTTTTGGGTGGCTAATGTGGTTGGGAAGCAAGTTGAAAAATTTTGCATCTGAGATCTAATTAGTTTTAGAGATATTAGGATTTTTCCGAGTTGTGTCAGACTCACAATTTGACAAGCGAGGGGGCGTGGTTAGTTTCGTTTTCTTTTAAATCTAATTTTAAAACTTTTTTTTTCAAAAAAAGACTTATTTTATTTCGATGATTATTAATTTTCACTTTCTCCAAAAGTTATCAAATTTCACTTTCACTTCTAGAAGCATTGTTGTTTATTTATGTTCGGTGTTTGATGGATGCGTTCTAAAGTTGTGTTTTTACTAAATTTTTATTTATAAAAAGTCTTTTTTAAGACTAATATTTTTTAATTTATAAATACATTCGTAACAGAATATTTGTTATACTTGATTGACTGAATATTTATATAATTATGCTAGCTATTTCTTTAATCCTATTGCTTTGTTTGTCTAAACCAATGTTACGTGTATTTTAGCCGATACAGGTTACATATAAATTTTAAATGTGAAAAAATATAATACTATTAATATTCAAGTAAATTAGTGTTTTTGGACCAGCAATAAGTTTGTTTATAATATATTAAGAAAGTAGGACTGTACAAGCATTTTTAGTTTTGGTTTTATGGTTCTCTTTACTTTAAATGTCATTTTCTCAGACTTTCTTTTTTGTTGATGCCACTGTTTTCGATTCCCTAAGGCTTTTTTCCCTTTAAAGATAAAGCCTTGAAATTTTTTGTAGAAACTTTTATGTATATACAGACCAAAAGTTAGTATGGATTTCAGTGTGAGATGTATACATTTTTTTTAATAAAAATTTGAAGTTGGAGTTTTTAGAATTTTCGGGTTTTCCACGTGTTTAGTAACGATAAAAATAATTAAGATTCAACTAAGTATCAGAGCATCAAATCCATACTAACTTTTGTTCCTAATAATCTAAGATATTTATATTATTTAAAATAACTGAAAAATTTTGAAAATTAAAAAAGTTATAAAAATTTAAAAAAATCTTGAATTTTTTAAAAAAATTTAAATTTTTTAAATTGTGGTTTGTCGATTTCCCTTTTCTTTTTGAAAATCTGTTTAATAATATAATACAAATGAAAATCTATTATTACTTTTAATATAACAGGCCTTAAAAAATTTTTTTAAAAAAGGGTACCGTGTAGCCTTAAACAAATTGTAATTGATGTTAGAATTATTTAACTAATCTCAGTAACTGATTACTGTTACTGAGAATTTAATTTAATAATTGGTTAATTTTCAAGTATGATGAAGGAATATTCTAGTTTTTCTTTTTTTAAATTGCAAATTTTCCTGACTATTCCCTGATTTTTGAAGGTAAAATAAAATTCCCTGTCCTGCGGGATCTCTGTCATTTTCACATATGTTTCAGACAATTTTTTTTATCAGTAAACTTAGTAATATATTTGCACTAGTAACAAACAAATTAATCAATTTTAGTCTGTTTAGCCTTTGAAATTTTAACTTCTTAGCAAATAATTAAACAAAAGTAAAAAGTTAATAGCTTTCATTTCGTTACAGAAATTTCTTAACTGCAAATTTCATTGCTTACACCCACAAAGCTAGTGCGGTTTATGAAGAATTGCCATTTATAGAATTGTGTAACATAGGCAGAAAATTGTGTACATCTATCATATAGTGTATTATTCCTGGGCCAGGCACCCTCAAACCTCTCTACACCCCCACCCCACACAGCAATGATGTTGCATATACCACAGTTGGGAGTCTAAACTGATTGTGGTCGAACTAATGAAAATGTTGAACAGAATATGGTGAAAACTACGCTTTGAGAAATAGTGACAGCATTTGACATAACTAAGAAAAAATTAGTTTGTGAAAAAGAAAATGAAGCTATTTTTATAAATAACCAATAAAAAAGCACCTTTAGGGGTTTTTAAAAGACAAAAATCAAAAACATGCACCTTTAAGCACTTTTTAAAAACATAGAATTAAAGAATTTTACATTTATAATTTGTAAAAATTACAGTTTTATTCTATGCACAAAGGCTTTCTTTTTTGTAAACACAAAATGCTTCTGCTACCTTAAATAAACATATTTGTTACTATTAAAAATGTCTTTCAGAAAGGTATTAGTTTTAGAAAGAATTGTTGCAGAGAGCACGTAAAAATTCTGTTACAGGGACCAGTGGCATAAATTATATTACTAATCTTTACGTTAAGCGTTATACATAAAAATTAGTATAAAAATCAAATTACCCTATAAAATACTTTCCTGAAGTACATTAGTCTTTAGGTTTATTTTGAATAACTTAATAGCACAAATTCTTTTTATTAGTTAGTGCTGTTTTATGAAAAAAACTTTGGAAATTAATGTTTAGAACACATTAAATGTTAATTTAAAGTGAGTCATTGCAAATTTCTTGCACAGTTTTAAACAATTAAAATGCTGGGACTATTTCTGAACTACAGTAATTTACATTAAACAGTTAAATTCTTTTTCCATAAGCCAATTTTGGAACAAAAGCTTTCGATTAACTTACTTCTTTTCCTAACTCTTCATAAGTTGGAGCCAATTTCTTACAATGTCCACACCAAGGAGCATAAAATTCAATTAAAACATCTTTGTCGCTATCAATCACTAATTCTTGGAAATTTCTGGCAACAGCAACCTATATAAAAATCAAACATTGTAATTGACTATGATCTGTACGATTTTTAAATTTTACTATTTTCTCTAAAAAAAAACACACACAATTTAAAAAAGTATTACAATAACATTAATTGAAATTATAAGTATAACCAAAACTGTTATACTCTGCATCTTCATATTTATAGATTTTAAACAGGGTTGGCAGGTTTTTGACATGTGACAGTTTTTGACAGTTTAAACCGTGGTTTAAACCGTCACGTCAAAAACCTCACTGTCGAAAATGTCAAAAACCTATATTCATATGTGAAATTTAATTAATACATAAAATTTATATATTTTTTAAAGGATAGTGTTTCTAAATATGTTCTAGAAAAAATAAATTTAAAATTTTGAAGAAACATTTATATTTTGAATAGTAACCAAAATCTTGTACTTTTGAAAGCTCACATCTTTTGTAATATTATGTATTCATTTTCATGTGTTATTGAAAATCTGCAGTGATATTATTAAGAAATTTATTTATAACCAAATTTAGTGTATAGTATAGATTATACTAAAAATTAGACATTTTTAAAGATAAACATTAGCAGTTTTGTACATTAGACATCTTTTAAAGAAAAATCTTTTTAATATTCTTTTAAATCTTCTTAATAATCTTTTTAACATAAGACAATACAAATTTAAGTGCTTTCTGTTAAATACACAGAGTAGTTAGTGTCGATTTACAGTATATTCAGCCTATTCATTTACTATGCTGAAAATTTAGTTTATCCAAATACTTGTGAATTTCATTTTGCTGAATACTATATAGTTTTGTTGAATATCTAAATATTCAGCTGTTGAATAATTACTTCTTGCTTTCAAGATATGCATTATTTGTATTCTTAATACAAGTGGGGGAAAAAAATTAAGAGGTAAAAATTGTTTTAAAATGATAAGTGTAATAATTATAAATAAATATAATAAACAATATGAATTATATTTATCATTATTCACAAATATAACTACTTTTAAATTCAAATTAACATACTGGATAATAAAGATATTCGGTATAACATTAAAAAAAAATTTTTATACACTTGTATCTTATATCAAGTTTGTATTTATACAACATAACTTGTAAGTTCCTTATAAATATTAGTTATATGTTCCTTATATGTCAAAAATGCATAGTAATAAACTTTTAATTTTCTTAAGTATCAAAAAAAAAAATTTTTTTTTTCAAAATATAAATATTTAAAAAAATTTTGTGCAAAATTTTTCTGCACATGCATTTGAATATAAATTTCTGAGATTTTAAATCTGTTATTTTACCTTAATTTTAATTAAAAAATATTTTAAAACCTGCTGATTACCTATAGTATAATTAAATTTCAATATAATGCATGGCAACTGTTGGTAGTTTTGAAGTTTATATATTTTCTTGGCAAACTTCAGTTTTTGACATTTTTGACGGGTTTTTCACGGTTTAAACCAGTATTATACCCTTGTCATGTCAAAAACCACTTTTTGACGTCAAAAACCCAACCCTGATTTTAAATTTAAAAAACAGTAATGAAAGAGTTAAAACAATAAAATAGCTGGAAAAAAAATACAAAAGCAAAAAATTTTTTCTTTCTGCAGAATTATATTCTAAAGATACTTTTCCTGTTCCTGGGAAAGGAAAGAAATACTCCTGATTTTTCTGTTCTCATTTCGGAATTAAAAAAATTCGCCAATGACTAGTTTGCTTCAGTTAGAATTTTAAATTGGTAAAATAAAAAAAATCTGAAGTCACAGAAGTTTAAAAGATAATTCACTCAAGAAATGTTTTTTCTTTCATTTTTTGAAAGAACACCATAACTTTTAAAGAACATGATAAAAACATTTTATATTTTAATAAAATATGACTGGATTTTATTACAAATTCAGATATTCGGAACACCATAAAATTGGGCGAGGGAAGTAAATTCCATTCTAATTCCATTTTTTGGTGACCTAAATCTGATTTTTTTTTAATTAAAAAATAGTTAAAATCATGAGATTTCATAAAAATTTTGTTCAATACCGAAATTCATGACGTTCCAGGTGCACAGATACCCTGCATATTTTTCATGAGAGGACACACATTATTATGCTCAACATTGAAAGATTTGAATACATTCTTAGAACATTCAGCAATCTTTTATTTTCAGTTCCAATTTTTTTTTTTGTCATTTTAAATGTGTCTCCTCTTGATTGAAAACTATGACCTGCAAGATTCATAATTCCCTTTTATAAGATATTATACAGACAAATTCTTTTGAAAATGCATACCTGCCAACATTGGAAAAATAATATAACAAATTTTTATCGAGACATTCTTTCGGCTGCGAATCTTAATATACCATGATTAATTGTATAAGTCAAAAAGAGAAATTCAAAATTGAAAATATAAGCACTCTACATTTAGCAAAACAAAAAATATGTAAAAAATCTAAACCGAAAAGAATTTTTAAACCATTATTTATAAATACTTAAGCTATAAACACTAACTAGGATAAGCACCAAAAAGTTAGATTCAAATCTCACAAAAGAGAATTTTTCATGATACAGGGTTCCTAAACTATTTTGAGAAAACAATATCCTGACTTTTGCAGGTTTTTTCCTGACCTTTTACAATAAAATTCCATACCGGCCGTTTCCGACTCCAACAAAACTTTTAACATTGCAGTTTCAATTAGTCATAATATGCTACTTAGTCATAAGTATTATATATTGAATAGGATAAACACTTGTATATTAAAGTGGAATTGCGTAATAGCACTTTATATCCCAAATTATATTTTGAGAAAACTTTTGAAGCATATTTTTAATTATCATTATTAGATTAAACTTTCAGTGTGTTTTTGTAGTTAGATACGAAAACTGTTTAAATAAAAACATCAAGAAAATCAGTTGGATTATGGAAATATTATTTTATTTAATGTTAAGTGGAACCAAATGCATGAGTGTCGTCAGAATATAAAGGGTTAATCAAATTTGAGATATATGTATCAGTATCCTCAAATAATATTTACTCTTAAAACATACTAGAACACTTGTTACATTAAGTTATTAATATTTAAAAATCACCAATTCACTTCAAACTGACTTTTCTTTCAAAAGATAATATTGAAATATAAAGGGGAAAAAAGTCAAGAAAAGTTAATTAGATACAAATAAAAATTCAGATAGAAAAATTTTGCAACTTGTAAGAAAAATAAAATCAAAAATATTTTTTTTTCAGTATTTTTAAATTTATTTCTGTATTGCTGTAAGCTTCCGGAGAAACTCAGGGGCTCCTATGATGTATAATATTTCCCAACATATTTTGTTTGACAATTTCTGAATCAAGAACATCAAGTTCTGTTGCAGCAGTTTTCCTCAATTTAGATTTTCTTAATTTCAAATCATCTATCTTTTCTTTTATTCGTTTTCTAGAAATTTCAGCTTTTTATTCTCTTCGTTTTTCTTTTTTTTTGTTGCTTCTAATGCATGTCTCCATCTTGTTCTAGATCCTTTTACAGCATCTAGCATTTTTTCATTAATGTCTATGTTTTTTATTTCATTTATAAATGAAACATAATCATACACACGCCTTTGTGAAATAATAAAGTCTTCATTGAGGTTTTCAACCAATAAGCTTTTATTGATTGAAAATCCCCCCTTCGACTGTTGTGTTACCATGAGAGAGGATAAGAACAATTTTTATAACCTCCCACAAATTTTTTAAACTTTTTTTCTCCGTGCAAATATTTCGAAATTTTTTTTATCTAATCTCTGTTGCTGAAGATTAAACGCTAAGAAACTCTTTTGCTCTTCTTTTTTTTGGCAGCATCACAAAACAGTAAAAATTCCTTTTTTGCTTTTTCTGCTGTTGTTGTTCTGAATGTCTTAATACACTAAAAATATTTTTGATCTAATTGTAGGCAAAAGAGAGGGAAACAAATATATGACATTAATTAAACAATTCTTGTTTAAAATCAGAGTTAGCAATAAAATTGCCACTCATTAAAATATAAGTTTAAAACATGAGAAAAACAACCATTTTTTGTAGCGAAAAAATGGTATGTTTACAGTTTTGTAATTACGTTCAGATCAGTTTCATACGTCTATATTTATTTCATTATTTCATTAATTTTTTCTAGGCAAAGTCAATATGGAGTTTCTGTTTGCAAATAAACTGAAAAATCATGTGACTGTGCATGTCTTAATATAGTCATGTTAAAAACCATGAGAATACATTTAATGAACTGCAATAAAAAGTTTTAAAAATGTCGAAACACATATTTAGAATGTTACCGAGCACATTGAAAAGTGATTATTGAAATGAAAGATTTGAAACTTCCATTCATAGTATATTAAAAATTGATTCTAATCTAATGATTGATCTAATTGTAAAAAATAAAAAACAGGGACATATACACCACAATGAATAAATAATTCTGTTACAAATCTGAGTTTGCGACAAAACGGCAACTCACAAAAATATAATCAGTAAGAAAAAAACTATTTCTCACTAACAATCTTTTAAATGTTTTTCATTTCAGAATAACTTTTAAGATTTCAATTTCATATTTTTGTGTTAGCCTCAGTAGTTCATTAATTCTATTAAATTTTTTTTATTAAGGTTGCCACTCAAATCTGGAGGAAAAAATTACCTGCGTTTTTCCTGTAAACAATATAGTAAGAAGAAACACACAATTACAGTGTTCTTATGTGAGCTATATTGGGCTAACTATATTAGTTTTAATTACTGGAAAAACTTTGAAGAAAAAAAAGGAACAGCTGAACATACTTAAATAATGCTATAGTACAGTAATTTCCGGTAAATAGGCCGCACCGCCGTACTGGCCGCACCCGCAAAAAACATCGTTAAAAATTTCAATTTTCATCTTATAGGCCGCACCGTCGTAAAGGCCGCACTTTCGTTTTTTCGATCGATCATCGATTTTTATCAAATATCACATGTGTGAAAATACTCATAAAAAATAATAATCTTTAAAACATAAACTCTATACTTAGAAAAAAGTTATTGATAAATATTTTTTTTTATGTATACTCATTACATTATCATCATCATTTTTATGTATACTTATCTTAAAAAAAAAAAGAATTGAGAATGATCCTAAGTTAAGGATGTGTATGCGATAAAAAATAAACTAATCACAAAATAAATCAGCATTTATTTATTTATACTTTTCAAATATTTTTGAGCATATATCTATTCAAAACCATCGAAATCTGATTCTTCACTGCCAGATATTCAGCACTTAATCTGATCCCTTTTTCTTTTTTTTTTCTTAGAAGAAATTTTTATTAACAGGAGAAAAAAAAAATCAGTATAATTCTCTTTTTATTTGAATTTTATTCTGATGAAGTAACTTTATTTTATTCTTAAAAAAAAAACATGAAAACAAATCTGAGTCAAAGGAAACATCTGTTTCTAAAAGCAGTTTAAAATAAAGGGAAAAGTAAAAACATCTGCATTTCCAATGAACAAAATAAAGAAATGCAAGTTGGAAGAAACTGATAAATCAATCTTGACAGCTGTGGAAATGCTCTACTCATTTGTCCCCATTTTTTCCCCCTCCAGTTTGACCATAAATTAGCCACACCCTTTTGAAATTGAAACTACCAAGTGGGATACAAAATGAATTCTATCCCTTTTGAGGCTTCTTTTTATTCGATGTAAATCAATCTCTTTTGTTTTTTATTAGATATTAATTGCTATTTTTTTTTATTATTTGAAAGCTAGTTTTTATTTTTAAATTGTATTTAGTTGTTAGCTTGTTTTTTAATCATTAGTTGTTAGCTTATTAAAAATATATATTGTTATTTCTATAATATAGATAATTATTTTAATTAATGAAATTTCTTAAGATGGGACATTTTTAAATTCACCCCATCATAATCTACGATCAAAACTGAACTAAATTTATTGTAATTAATTAATTTTCGGAAATTAACAGTATAATTGAATTATCGTAATATATGGGCGCCATATTGGAATTTCCGAAAGCGATCCGAAATTCGGCAAATTCATTTAAAAAAATAAGAAAGAAAAACGTTACCAGAGTAAACATTACGAATTAGGTTCGTTATTTTGGAAAATTTTTGCTAAACATCTGATTTTGAATAAATCCACCATGATCAAAAAATTCTCACTTGTGGGATGGGATAAAAAAATTCTACATATAGGCCGCATCGGCGTACAGGCCGCGCATCGTGACAGCCCAACTTTTAAACACGTATAGGCCGCGGCCTATTTACCGGAAATTACTGTAAATGAAAATAGTTTAGTATAATATAGCATAGCAGCAATATCCTAAAATAACCCATAGCTCAAATATCCTTCAATATCCCCTGCGCTTTGAGAAGTCGCCATTTTCTAAAAGACTAAAATAACAAAATTCCCTGTATTTTTCTAGTTCATAAAGAAAAAAATAATAATTCCCTGTACTTTCCTTGTCAGTTTAGATGATTTTTAAATTCCCTGTATTTTCCAGGTTTTTCCTGTGGAGTGGCAAACCTGATTATGGAATTTTTTTCCTTTTAAGTTTATTTCTTTAGGTGGAGCATTTTTCTATAACAAAACTTAAAAAAGAAAAGTAGTTTTTACATATGAATAAGAACATAAAAAGGAGACCGATGAGAAGGACAAATAAATGCCTCGCTAATATGTTCAATGCCACACTTATTTTTAATGGCTTGTCCATCTGGTCAAAATGATTCTCAATATGTATTGCATTAATTTCTTCAAACCATTTCAGTAATGATAATATAAAAAATTAAAAATTTTATGTGTTTGTAATAATCTTGACTTTGCTGGTCACTGGTGACCACCGTGGAGCTACGAACAAACTCAGTGTCGGTCAGCGGTGGCATTTAACGTGTTAAGATTTTGATTAAGTAACAAAATTTAAAATTTAGATTACTGAAACTCCTAGAAAATTTTTTCAGAATATTAACTATTTATTTGTGGAAGTTAACAAATCAATGGTCAATAGATTCTCGGAATTCTGCGAATTATCGAAAGAATCACACGCAGTATTTATTTTTACAATTAAGTCAGATAGAATCGTTGCCTTAAAAAGTAAATACTCAAATGCACGATTCAAATCTTCCATATTGTTTTAAATATATAGAGAATTTAAAAAACCACATGAAAATCAATATCAGTAACTGCTAAAAATACAATAGAAACATGACATTCATTTACAATACTATCGGCGCAAATTAAATACTTCAAAAAGTGATTATCTAAATGCATGATTCAAATATTATGCATAAATTTCTGTAGAAAACAAAACTAAAATTTTTTACTTTTCAAAATAAAAATCTTTCTGCAAGAACTCTAACGTTCTGCAACACTGTCTCCATGTCGCTGCAATTCTGCCACGGGGCATATGCATTTTAAGATTTATGACTAATTCCACAACAAAATATTCAAATCATTTTACAATTTTAAAAAAATCACGACATCTTACTTTAACAGGCCCATCATTGTCGTCTGGTAGGTCTTCAGATTTCAGATGAGGTTCTAAAGAGCCAGCCAAGAAGTCTTTGACAAATGATTCAAAATTCTCAACACTAAAAAATCAATTAAGGTATTATATTTTATTTTATAACAGTCATTGATCAGATGACCCAATTTTTGGGTTTAGGTCTACTGATGTTCAACTCTGACATACAATACTACAAACTGAGCTTACAGTTACAAACAAATCTATTTTCATAGAGTATAAATACTCCAAACAACTCTTAGATAGTGTACAAGGCATTGCTAAAGAGCCAATTTTAGTACATATTTCAATTTCATTACATTAAATAATCATCAAAGTATATACAGTCAATAACTAGAGAATTCTTATTTTTAATGACTGAACAATTTGGAAAATTAGATAGGTTATATGGATTGAGACTAGTAAATATTAAAATAGTTTTGTCCCTTCAAAAAGTTAATAAGAAAATTTCCTGTATTATATTACATTTTATTATTTATAATATTTATTGTTAAGCAATTTAAGTGGACATTTTGTAAACTTCTAGTTCGTTGGAAAGAATTGGTTTCGTCCTAGCAAAATCCTGATATTTAAAATTTAATAAAATCTGTTTCAGAATGAGACACTCCTTTACACAAAAAATTAATTTTTAAAAAATTTAAGAAAAAGAGAAAATATCAAAGATAAAAAAAAAGTACTGCTATCTAGAGCAATAACGCAAGTGAATTTTAAAATTAAATATCATAACTATTTGAAAAAGATATTTATTAATACAGAGTTGGCAAGGTTTAGGACAGAATGGATTAATACAAGGTTTGTACCGTCTTGTCCAAAAACCCTTTATCTGACTCTTTTGCAAAACCCTTTTTATTCAAATTATGTCACAATTTTAAAAAAATTTTGTAAAAAATAAAAGGTTGATCTTTGAACAAGAAGCAGACAAGTTTTTGTTTTATTAAAAAAGGTTATTTTAAAACTGCATTTATTTATACTTATGCAAAAACATAATTTATCAGTATTAAAAAGGATATTTATTCATATTTAAGGGATAAGGTATTCACTTTTGTTGTTCAATAAATTATGGAGCTTCAAAAGTCAATATTTTATTATATTATATTATATTATATTATTTTATTATATTAAAATATTTTATTATATTATTTACCTTTAATAAGTTAAAGCAAATTTTATAAAAAGTATTAAATATTTATTTATATATATAATTATATGTGCAATGGTTACACATATAGAATTTTTACCATTTATAAATGTTCAAGGTTTTGGACACTTTAAGACAGTATTAGTCAGTTTCATGTCCAAAACCAATCGTCCAAAACTCCAACCCTGATCAAATACTTTAAGCTTATTGCTGTAAATCTGCAAACTACTTTGAATAAACAAGGTATCTGTAGTTACAACAAAAATGAAAATGCATATATTATCTTTAAGGTTCCAACTAAAGAATAACAAGAAATAGAACTGAATACTATTCTAAATACTGTTAATTTTTCCAGCCTAAATTTTTAACTTTAAAAAATTAAAATTTTACAAGATATCCTATCTTTTGAAAAAATTTCTTACTTCATGAAACAACTTAAATTTGGAAATGGCATAAAGTAATTATAAACCAAATTACCTAAATTCTTTCTTCATGTTGAATTTTTGATTGGCTTCATTTCTAGCAGCAATAACAGGTTTATCACCTTTAGCTGATAAACCATAATCTTCCACTTCAGCAGAAAACTTATCTTTGTTACTAACAGCAAAGTTGACTTGTCCTTTGTAGTTCTGAGCTACTTTCATGATGCGATTACGCCAATAATTGGTACCTGTAAAGATTTGTTCTCTTATTCAACTGTTTCTTTTTTTCTTCATATTTATGAAATGAGCTTATCTATACCCTCAAATTACTAAATACTTTAAACAGGGGTGACTGTGACACGAATGGAAAAACTTAAAATTTTATGTGCAAAAAAATCATTAATTTATATACCATACAAGTTTCAAATTTAACATTTTTTTAACTAACATTTATAAATAAATTACCTACTAATGAAAAATATCACACCTTTAAAGTAACTAGTTCAAGAAAAACTTACAAGAATAGAGCTGTTGGATTTCAAAATTGTGTGAATATAAATTGAGACATTGAATTCGGGGGTAGCAGCAAAGTTTTTTAAAATTTTAGGGTCATTTTAGGAACTTTTTTCAACAAATTTTAGGGGTAATATATGATTTTGCTAGGATAAAAACAGATCACACGGTANCTTTAAACAGGGGTGACTGACACGAATGGAAAAACTTCAAATTTTATGTGCAAAAAAATCAATATTAATTTATATACCATACAAGTTTCACATTTAAATTTTTTTTAACTAACATTTATAATTAAATTACCTACTAATGAAAAATATCACACCTTTAAAGTAACTAGTTCAAGAAAAAACTTACAAGAATAGAGCTGTTGAATTTCAAAATTGTGTGAATATAAATTGAGACATTGAATTTCAAAATCGTTGAATTTGAAATGTGATACTGGATTTTAAAAACTTGAGAAATGCTATATTTAATTTTTTATATCGTGTAAATACGAATCACAATGCAAAACTTTTAGAGCGTGTTCATACGAATTCTCAGGAGTAGTTTTCAAATCACATATAAACATGAAAATTAATCTTTGTTATACCACAAGAATTTGAATTGCGATGTTGGATTTTAAAAACTCACGAATACGCTACATTGGATTTTTAACTCGTACGTAAGCAAATCGCAAAATTAGTTTTTTTAATCATGTGAATAAGGTATCTTTGTGATAGTCCTGTCTGAGACAATCTTAAGATGTTAAAGTATGTAGGAAATTTAATGACTTAAATTTATTAATTAACAAAAGAAAGCAAGCTAAATATTAATGTACAAAAAGGAAATAAAAGCTAACAATTAAAATAAGCTATGAAATTAATAGATTAACAAAGAATAGCTATAAAAAAAAGCTAACAATTAATTAGCAAAATAAAAAAACAAGTTAACTACGAATCTAAAAAAAATAACAATTGATGTAAAAAAACTAACAATTATAACTATAAAAAAACAAGCTAACAATAACTAGCAAAAAAACTCAGACCGAATATAAATTAAATTATCAAAAATCATAAAGCTCAAATTTCATAAAAAGTATTATTAACTTCTAATTTTAAAATCATTAAAAGTGTGCAGCAGCAACAAAAAAGGTTGAGAATCACTTTCCAAAAGATGGGGGTATTGATTAAAAAATTATGCCTGTTTCATTTCAGACATGGCATAAGTAGAAATTCTGATTATATAACTCACTTTTATACAAGATAAATTAAAGTTACCTTTGACATTCTTTACATAATCTACATCATAATATGCCACAATTAAAGGAGCTTTGAAGTCACCATGGTTATCATGTGTTCGGTAACCAACAAGTCCATGGCTGGAAAGAAATACTCTATTAAAAACTATGTAATGAAAGATAATGAATTGTTATAGTTCGCAAAAAATTCTCCTTTGTATATGAAGATTTTTCTTATTTAAATAAGATTTCAATTTTTTTTTAAATCAGGGTTGCCACTTAAATATATTTTAATTTATAACAGGCATAGAACAGCTGACCCAATTTTGGGTTTACGACTACTAATGTTCAACTCTGTAGCCTAGTAATTTTGAACAATTCCAGAAGGCAACGAAGGTAATCCCAGAAGTATGATTTGTTATGGGAACATGGAGGACTTGGTGACCCGACAGATTTAACGTGCATTAGTCACCATTTACTACAAGGGGAGTCTTTGGCCGGCGGGGATCGAGCCATCGGACATGGGCCCAGTGCCCTACCAAAAAGGATATGCCGGCCCTGCAACTCAAATATAGAAAAGAAAAAATTCCCTGTAGATATTACACACAATATATTAAGAGGAAACACATCAACACTGTACTCTTACATGTGAGATGCATTTGGCTAACTATATTAGTTCTATTTAATTGCTGGAGAAATAAGAAACAGCTCAATATACTTTAAACAAATAATACTATACTAAATGAAATAGTTTATCATAGCTGAAATATCATTTTTATAAATCCCATAGCTTTGAGTGGTCACCATTTTTTAAAAGGGGAAAATAAGAAATAAAATTCCCTGTATTTCCCCAGTTTGTAAGGAAAAACTCAAATTTCCCAGTTATTTTAGGTGATTTTTATATTCCGTGTACTTTCTAGGTTTTCCCCATTCTTCCTGGAGTGGCAACCCTGCTTATATTCACCATCTAAATTATCTGATAATAGTACTTATTTAATTATCAATTAATCACTAAATAAATAAATTAAGGGTTACTCTTGTTTAAGCTAAGTATTCTAAAACTTTCCAGAGATTCAGCAATTAGATATAATACAATAAAGAGCAATTAGATATCTTCCCTGGATGCCCCCTGAAGGGGGCGGAGTTAAGCTTTGATACTATCAAAAGTAAATTAGTTTTAGATTGAAATACATTAAAAAAGTTACTGGTCCGTTTCTCTGGGCAAAAGTCTTTCAATAAAGGTAAACACTAACTACATATTTATTATGTTTTAAAATAATTAAAGATTTCACGAAATATAAATTTCATGATAATTGTTGCATAATATTTAGAACATAATGTACTAAATGTTTTACACAAAGGGAATTTCAGGAATTTTTAAAGTCATCAAAATAGAAAAACTACAATATTTTCCAGTTATGATTGACATTAAATATACTTGAAATGTTATGCATAATGTTAACTCATAATTTCCAATATAAAGAGGCATTTTGTAACCATATCATATTTTGTGATGTGTAAAAATACAGACTTTTGATTGGCTTAATTTGTCCAGCGTAATTACAAAAATTTAGCTGAATTCTGCCCTAGAAAGCCACGGATTCACGAAATTTGGATTTTTGTGTTCATACTATAGATGAATGAAAAAGCTAACATAAAACTGACAGATTTTTCACTGTACTGATATTTTATTCAAAAAAAAGTTCATTAAAGAGGGAAACTTAAAATAAACTATTAGATTTGGAGGCTCGCTCTGTTGTGGATTTGATTTAAACATGCCTACTTTGATGGATGGTACAAATTGAACAGTTGGCCAGCTATTTGTGACTGCAACATTGTTCTCCTCACACTGTTGCTGCTCAGTATCGATCACACACCACTGGAGCTTGTACACACTCTACTGGTAATGGCAAGACAGGAGTGACCGTGTACACAACTGTGAACTCAATATAACTCTCACGACCAGCACTCAAAATCCGGTGAACTTAATACATCCCTCCCGGTCTTTTGCATAAAGGCTAGTGATATCAATTCATCCAATTCCATCCCAGATAAAATTCTGGTGGGGGAGTAACTACCACTACAATAATTTAATCACTAGTAAAGGAGAAGTGTTAACTCTATAGACGTGTTGATAACTCCTTTCCCCACAGCGAGCAATGAGAGATAGTGGCTGACCCTCCGAGTGAATAAAAAAAATTATCAAAAACAATCTACTTACTAGCTAGATTTGACAAAGTCAACTATTTCTGTTTTGTCTGCAGATCCTGAGTACTTAACATCTTGTTCTTCAAATTTGCTGAAGTATTTCTTTGCACGATGTAAGACAATGTGACTGAAATAAAACGAGATTAGCTATGTTAATAACCAAGGAAAGGATTGTAACAAATCAGAAGTAACAAGTTAACAAGGAAATTAATTTAAGCAATGCACACAAAAAAACACAGAATTAAGAACTAAAATGAAAATCTCAAAGACAAATCTTTTCAAAATAAATGCAGCAGTACAATAAGGGATTTTCTAATTTACTGACTTTCCTTGTAAGTCCGAGATTTCCCCGTAAGTCAGAGTCATTGAGCCCAAATTAATTTAATTTTTGTTCAAATATAACCAGATATTTAAAGAAAAAAAATTTATACAGCAATTTATTTTAAATTAGCAGAAAGGAATGCAATTTTATAGAAACTTTCTCATTGCATACAATGGAAATTTAGTTTTATGTAGTCCATTACCTCGCTTCCTATGTCATTTATTACTGGTCGTGAAAATTGCCTATACTGATAATGTTAAACTATTCCGAATTTTTAGTTTACTTAAGTAAGAAAATTCCTCTTTATACATTTTTCTAACAGAGCAATCCTTTTTTTTCTTCTTACAAAGCCCACACAATCTTTGAGTTTTCTTTTTCTTCTAAATAAAACTGTAAGAGGGGATTTTTGCTGGAAAAACTGAGAAATAAAGAATAGTTCAACATACATAAAAAAAAAATACAGAAATATTATAGTATAGCTGAACTACCTTTGAATATCCATACCTGCCAACTTTGGAAAAATAGTAAGATTTTACCAACATTTTTTGGGCTACAATTAGTTTTGATACACAATGCGTAACCATTTAATTCAAAATCGAAAATAATATAAGCACTTACATTTAGCGAAGTAAAAAATATGTATATAAATCTTAATCTAAAGATTTTTTAAACCATTATTTATAATTACTTAAACTATAAACACTCAACATACTGNATACAATGGGATTATAGTTTTATGTAGTCCATTACCTCGCTTCCTATGTCATTTACTACTGGTCGTGAAAATTGCCTATACTGATAATGTTAAACTATCCCGAATTTTAAGTTTCCCTTTGTAAGAAAATTCCTCTTAATACATTTTTATAACAGACCAATATCCTTTTTTTTCTTCTTACAAAGCCCACACAATCTCTGAGTTTTCTTTTTCTTCTAAATAAAACTAAGAGGGGATTTTTGCTGGAAAAACTGAGAAATAAAGAATAGTTCAACCAGTGTTCTCACTACAGCGTGAGAATCTCGCATATTTTTTTCTTTTCTCGCATTAAAAAATGATTAACGCGAGAAGTTCTCGCACTCTATTAATGAATTTCAAAATTAGCGAATCTCGCGAATTTTGCAAAAAATTTTGTCTTCCGCTATTTTAAATGAAATCAGTTTCTTTTTTCTTCCTTGATCTTTCTTTATTTTCAACATCGGTCCTTGTTATCAAGCTTTCCTATTTACCAGTATTGTTGAGAACCAGTGTGAACAGCAGAACACAATGCCCCCCCCCCCGAAACCCTTTCAGAACACATTTCTCTGCAACCACGTGTTAACCGTAGGTAAGGTTTCTTCATGTAAGACGTTTAAATTTTTTGTGCTTGAATGTAAGATGGACAAATACCTTGTTAAGGCAATATTTTCTAGTCCGTAACGGACAAATCAAAATGAAATAAATGTCGGTAGGAACGGTCAAAAGAAGCAAATAGGAACATTCGGTAGGAACGGTAGTAACGGACAAATCAAAATGAAATAAATGTCGGTAGGAACGGTCAAAAGAAGCAAATAGGGACATTCAACGGATACAGATCAAATACTAGCATGAACATGAAAATAACTTCACTATTCCGTAACAGAAATAATTGAAAAGCCTATGCTGGCAGGTGAAGAGGATAGGAATGTGTGCACAATGCTACAAATTTTCTTAGTGGTTCCGAATAGTTCAGCATCTGTTGCACCCAAAACCGAATTAAGACAAAATATACTAATAGATTGACTGATAAGCATTTGAGCAACCTAATGAGAATAGCTGATGAAAAAGTAGATATAGAACATTTTCCATTTGATAATGCAGCAAAAATATTCAATGCTTTAAAAATTAGAAGATGTTAAAAATGAAATATTTTTTCTCCAAGTCTATTCGTGTTTTGTTCATTTTTAGAAATCTCACCAAACTTTTTGAAATCTCACCCAGTTTTTGAGAAAGGGTGAGAAATTCTCACCCACTTTTTTTCTGTAATGAAAACACTGGTTCAACATACATAAAAAATACAGAAATATTATAGTATAGCTGAACTACCTTTGAATATCCATACCTGACAACTTTGTTAAAATACTAAGATTTTACCAACATTTTTTGGGCTACAAGTAGTTTTGATACACAATGCGTAATCATTTAATTCAAAATCGAAAATAATATAAGCACTTACATTTAGTGAAGTAAAAAATATGTATATAAATCTTAATCTAAAGATTTTTTAAACCATTATTTATAATTACTTAAACTATAAACACTCAACATACTGCAGTACTGGCAATAGCACTGTCTGTTGAGGAATAGGAAAAGTATTTTTGCCATTAGCAGATNTAACAAAATTTTAATCAAACCAATTATTTCATTTTTATTACATTTTAAAAAAAGCAAAGTTAAATACTTTATTCTTAACAATTAATGCAACGACTAACTTTTTATCTAATCATCTATTTATAGCTTTTTATTCTTACCACAAAAATTTTTCAGTTACTAAATCTCAGTCTTTTTGGTGATTAGCTTTAGCCAAATTATTTTTCAAATTTAATATTGATTAAGGATTTTTGCTTTGTTTTTGGGTATTTTATCTTTTGAAAAATCACCAACCATGGACCTCTTCCCATCCTCCAAACTGTCTGTTGGGAACAATTCAATCACTTATTAATTTGGCTTTTGAAAAATTAAGTACTTTAAAATTAATATGATTGTTTATTATCGAATAGACATATACCAATAGTGACAGTGCAAAATTATCTTTCTTAAAAAAGAAAATCAATAAGTAAAAAAGGAATTTTATTGTAATGTAACTACTGATATAATTGTATTAATTAACAGTATTAATTAACAGCTAAAGGATCAGGCAATTTTTTCAATCCCTGGTCTTTTTATATACATATTTTCAGATTGTTAAGAACATCTATGAAACTAATCTGCATTCCATTTTTAATGATTTCATTGAAATTGAATTGTAAAATTAAGTGCAGAAATTAAGATTTGCAATTTTTTCATATATTTAAAAAAAAAAGAGAAAATTTAATATGAATGATTATTCAATATGAAAGTATAAAAAATGTATTACCGACAACAACTGTCTCTTCAGCTGTGAACTTTTCTAATTCTGCCAGTGTCTTCAGTTCTTTGGAACTTGGCCCAACCTGAGCCTTCATGTATTTAACAATACCATCTAAAACAAAAAATTCCTTTCTCATTGAAATAGCTCATAAACAATAAACACAGAAATTACATTAGTCTATTTCTAGACTAAAACAATCCTGACAAAACAAATTACCTGGGACACCCCTTCAAATTTTTTTTTTTTTTTTTTTGCTGTCATAGACTACAGGGTTGCCACAGAAAAAAATGAACAAAATAGTTCCTTTCAGTAGCCGAAAACTACGAAAATAGTTGCCTAAATAAGTACAAAAATTAATCAAAAATTTGACTAAATTTTTATTAAATGACATAATTGTCATAGACCATGATTTATTTAGGCAAGTTGGTCCAATATGATAATTTTTTATATCAACGTTAAGTGTTCTATTACTTAATTTTTATATCAAAAAAATTAGTAATTTGCAGAAAATTAAATAGTTTTTACATACTACACCAGCAATTATATTAACAAAAGAAATAAAATTTTATTTTGCTACTGTGGGAAAAAATTTATTTAGTTTGGCGCTCGCGATTTGCAAGAATTTGAGAGATTTACCAAGAACCACCAAATCCAGGTCAGTATATACACTTGCGGACCCACAACATAGAGATCAGCAAACGTGTAAAATGATTGGCACTTTACACTACAGACCTACGGTAAGCCGAAATGGGTCGTAGTTGAATGAATTGTGAAAATGTTTAATGAGTCAATGTGAAAAGCACGCTGTTTAAGCAATTCATGGCCATGTTAAAAATAAAAAACCTCATTTTGGAGAAGTGAAAATTATGCATTTTTAAAAAACATCCTTAAGGGCTTTAGAAAAATGAAAATAAGCACCCTAAACCACTTTTTACAAACTACACGGTATGAAGTAAAACTAATTTTTTCAAAATTCAATGAAGTTGATTTTTTCTTTTTTGAAAAAGGTAGAATTTTTTTTATTATATTGGGGGAAAAAACTTGCCAAAAGGAGAGAAAAAAACTCATCTGTTTCAATGACTCTTTTGGCAAAACCAGAATATAAAGATTTAAAATTTAATACAAACCAGCATCTCTTGGACCATTATATTCAGATGAAAATTCACCATTTCTGAAAATTTTCAGAGTTGGATAACCACTGACACCATATTTTGAACAAGTATCTTTTCCATTGTCAGATGTGCAATCCACCTAAAGAAATTGAAAAAGTTAAATATTTTATTATCAAACTGGAAAATAAAGAGAATGGTCAGATTCTCCATGGCAGAATTGTAGAGTCAAAGTACTTTTTAAGCACTCAAAAAATATTTTAAGCACTATATACATTAACAAAATTCAAAATTTTTTTCAAAGACTTAACATGAGCATGACAAAATAACTAGTTTTTGACAAAGAACTTTTTTTCTTGATTATATTAGCCACCATAAACAGATCTGAGAGATTTTGGGTTTGTTATCAGAGGGTAGAAAATGAAGGCTGAAATAGAGAATATCTTGCAAAATGCAGCAGAGTAGCAGATGAGAGTGCAGACCCACCAGAAATTACCTAAGTATACACACATGTGGACCTGTAAGTATTTCATCAAACATTTATGATTGGCACTTTCATACACCACAGATCGACAGTAAGTCAAAATGCATTGTGTTCAAAAGAATTGTGAAAACGTTGAATAGAACATGAAAGCCCCGCTTTTGCAGAATATGTGGCTAAATCTCATTTTCGAAAAAAGAAAATTGCACTTTTTAAAAACACCCAATAAAAAAGCACCTTTCAGGGCTCTTAAGAAACGAAAATAAGCCCTTTTTTAAAAACGCCATCAGAGGTCTGTCTAGGTTTTTCTGAAAGGTACCCATTTTGTGAAAATTTAGACATAATGTGTGAAAATAAAAAATTATATTAAAAAATCAACACAAAAATATGGATTTATCGTTTCTTACGGGATAAAAAAATAAAATTAAGAAAAATTATTTTTTGAAATTTTTCCTAAAGGAGAACTTGTGAAGGTACCGCTAAACGGTAGTAAATTTGGCCTGGACAGACCACTGGCTATGAACTATGACTCTCATATCTGGACATCCACTCTGGACACATTTCCACAATCAGAAAAAAAAATTCAGAATTTTTTTTTACATTTGAGACTTGTTAAAAAACTTTTTTTTAAAAAAGAACCTTAGATATTGATCATACTTTAGCAAGAGGAATAGGTGGATCAGCTTTCTTTAGTACTGTTGAAGCTTTTTCATATTCAGGAGCTAGTCTTTTACAATGGCCACACCTAAAAAAGTTTATATATAAGTTATGTTTTTTCAATATTATTTAATAATCAACATTTAAATTTCAAAATTGAAAATACATAGCTGAGTAATTAAATACCTTACAGTAATACGAACATTTGAAAAAAATTACAATGGAGAGAAACTTAAAACTAAAATTATATTATACATTAGTAAAAACTTTCTAAATTTTTATTAGTCTTGAGAAAGATGGGATTCTCTCCAAGATATCAGAAGGGACGATTTCCGTGACCTGCAGCTTAATAATCACCAAATCTTGGCAACTTCCGTGCCACGGCCTGCTAGAAACTAAAATAAAAACAATGCAAAAAGGAACCACCTTGCAACCTCCCAGCAAAATTTAAGTTTAAAATCCATTTGGCACCTTGGCAGGCACAACAGATCCCTATACAGAAATATTCTCGTAAGTATGAAATAAGTAGTTCAATTTTCAGATCTGCCAACATTGGAGAAATAAAATAAGGGAGATTTTACTAACACCACTTTTTAGGCTAGGAGTCAAGTTTAGATACATCATACTACATAATCATGTAAATCAAAAAGAGAAATTCAAAGTATAAGCACTTACATTTAGTGAGTAAAAAAATATGTACAAAAATCTTAATCTTAAGATTTTTTAAAACCATTATTTATAATTACTTTAACTATTTTATTTTATAACTCTCGTTAAACAGCAGACCCAATTTAGGGTCCACAACTACTAATGTTCAACTCCGCAGTCTTGTAATTTCGAACCCAATCCAGAAGACAAGGGAACTTCTAAGTATTAGGAGAACTTAGCCTTCATAGAGAACTTTTTGATGAAACTAACCAGCATTTGCGATACATTGAGAGGAAAACCACCTACGGTTAGCCGGACGGTAAGGGGATTAACCAAATATCTGTCTACCACTGAGAATATTTTACTTAAACACCATGGTTTGAGCGGCTGGAGGCCGAATTTGTATAGACCAGCCATCGCTGGGATTCGAACCAGATTCACTTCATTGGAAGGCAAATGCTCTATCCCCTGAGACACCACTCAATATATTGCAGTACTGACAACAGCACCATCTGTTAAGGAATAAGAGAAGTACTTTTGCCATCTGCGGATATTTTATCGAAAAATTTTCTCAGCAAATAGAGAAATTTGAGAATATATGGATAAACAGGAGATAGTCTTAAAATACAGGAGTCTGTTAGAAAAAATTTGAGACTTAGCAGGTATGAAATTTAAAACAGATAAAATTTAATATTAATTTTAGCATTAAAGGATTTTAAGTCTATGCAATTTAATTCCATATAAATGACTTGGCGTTATCCAGGGCTGTTTGTATCGCAGATTGGAATGGGGGAGATAAAAATGGCAATAAAATTAACTCCTTTCTTGCCTGTTTTTGCAAAAAACAAATGTTCATGAATGGCTTTTTGAGAATTATTTCCCTTCACAGGAAACAGTTTGGAAATATATTATAATTTTTTAATCAGACTTGGTACTTTAATTGTTCTCCCAAAGACAAGCCAGCCATATATGAAACTACCAGTGCTCATATAAAGGCTCAATTATAGAATGTCTTCATCTTCTTAAAGAACAAATTTTAAATTTAAAAGCACACTTACATTAAAAGGCAACAAATTCTTTAAAAAGAAAAGAAAAAGCAAATGAAAAATCTGTGGTTTTACATGTAGAAAATTTTGCAATTAAAATCCAAGCTACTCATTGGCCTCATCAGCAAGTGACAATTTCAGAGGTAATGTTTAGTAAGGACAAAAAGCCTGAATATACGTTTAAAAGTTACGAAATGGATCGCAGAAGCGTGGCTGTTTTTTCCTTCTTGTTATTGTTCTTCACTGCAGGGGTGATTGCGAGTTCAACTCAAAAATCCTGAAAATTTCTCGAGTAAAATAATTAATGACTCATTTAAAAAAATTAATGTCCTCATAATTTAAAATCTATATTTTCACAACAGAAAATTCTAAACAAATTATATGCAGCATACTCTAAATTAATAATTATGTCTGAGTTTACTTTTATCTCTAATCACATTTATTACTCTACCAAATAAAAAATACAGTCAAACCTCGCTATAGTGAACATTGTTTATAGTGAACTCCCGGATATAGTGAACGAAATGTTCGGTCCCGTGCCTTGCTATACACGTATAATGTTATTTATTGTGGATATAGTGAACTAAAAAAGTGAGGAAGTTGGATATAATGAACTTTTTTCTGTCTTCGACTGAATTTTTTCTTCATTTTTTAAAAATATATCTGAAATGTCTACTTCAAAATAAATGCTTATACTAATTTTTAAGACCATCCATAAGAGTGGAATGTAGCTATAAGCATTTTTTCTTGTTCGCTTCTTTTATCTCACTTTTCCATCCCTAAACAAAAACCAACTCAGGCAGATGTATGGATAAATTTTTCCCTGCATCAGCTAAAGATCACTAACTTTTTTTTGTATGCAAAACGAAGAGTAATAAAAATAAAAGCAAGTTAACACATTTTTTGTTACTACGTATTCTTTTTCAGTCATTTTTGCATTTCATTTTGTCGGTCATTTATTTAAATAATGTATAATAAAAAGGAGTTCGGAACCATTAGTTAAAATTGTTTACAGAACTGATATAGTGAACTCCCGGTTATAGTGAACAGAAATTTCGGTCCCTTGAAGGTTCACTATATTGGTATACTGAAGGTTGACTGTATTTACAAATGAAAGAGATGTAAAGCAAGTATAAATTCTAGTTCTAATATTTTTAAATAAAATATACAAGAAGTTTTACATATAAATGTGATCGATGATTTCGTTAAACTTCTGGACCTTGGATTTCCGGATTGCAGTTAGCGAAAAATCCGAAAATCCAGATATTTTCCAGAGCACAGTCCTCTCTGACTGTGCCAAGTTGATTCCATTTCCTCAATCAGAAAACACAATTTTTAGTGACAGAACTGTAAGTAAATTTAAACGAGAAATCTGTTTACCAATTTAACATTCATGTTGCAAAATATGGTGTAAGGATATAAAACATTTTAATTAAACGCGTACAACTGTGTAAACATTATAACAAGTAATTATAAAACATAATACAGTAGGGAACCGACTATTCGGAACGATCGGGTTCATCGCTATTCCGGATAACTGATTTTTCCGGTTTCCTGAATCGCTACAAAAAGCAGTTTTTTTATTTGTTAAACCCAAGTAAAAAAAACGATGAAGTAATACACTAATGATTATTTCCAAAATGATGGNTTATTTATAATTACTTTAACTATTTTATTTTATAACTCTCGTTAAACAGCAGACCCAATTTAGGGTCCACAACTACTGATGTTCAACTCCTTAGTCTTGTAATTTCGAACCCAATCCAGAAGACAAAGGAACTTCTAGGAGAACTTAGCCTTCATAGAGGACTTTTTGATGAAACTAACCAGCATTTGCAATACATGGAGAGGAAAACCACCTACGGTTAGCCGGACGATAATGGGACTAACCAATTATCTGTCTACCACTGAGAATATTTTACTTAAGCAACGTGGTCTGTGCGGCCAGAGGCAGAATTTGTATAGACCAGCCATCACTGGGATTCGAACCAGATTCGCTTCATTGGAAAGCAAATGCTCTATCCCCTGAGACACCACTCAATATACTGCAGTACTGACAATAGCACCATCTGTTAAGGAATAAGAGAAGTATTTTTGCCATCTGCGGATATTTTATCGAAAAATTTTCTTAACAAAGAGAAATTTGAGAATATATGGATAAACAGGAGATAGATTTAAAATACAGGTGTCTGTTAGAAAAAATTGGAGACTTAGCAGGTATGACATTTAAAACAGATAAAATTTAATATTAATTTTAGCATTAAAGAATTTTAAGTCCATGCAATTTAATTCCATATAAATGACTTCGCGTTATCCAGGGCTGTTTGTATCGCAGATTGGAATAGGGGGAGATAAAACTGGCAGTAAAATTAGTTCCTTTCTTGCCTGTTTTTGCAAAAAAAAAAATGCTCCTGAATGGCTTTTTGAGAATTATTATCCTTCATAGGAAACAGTTTTGCAAATACATTATAATTTTTTAATCAGACTTGGTACTTTAATTGTTCTCCCAAAGACAAGCCAGTCATATATGAAACTACCAGTGCTCAGATAAAGGCTCAATTATAGAATGTTTTCATCTTCTTAAAGAACAAATTTTAAATTTAAAAGCACACTTACATTGAAAGGCAACAAATTCTTTAAAAAGAAAAAGCAAATGAAAAATCTGTGGTTGTACAAGTAGAAAATTCTGCAATTAAAATCCAAGCTATTCATTGGCCTCATCAGCAAGTGACAATTTCAGAGGTAATGTTTATTAAGGACAAAAAGAAAAAAAAGCCTGAATATACGTTTAAAAGTTACGAAATGGATCACAGAAACGCGGCTGTTTTTTCCTTCCTGTTATTGTTCTTCACTGCAGGGGTAATTGTGAGTCCAACTCAAAACTCCTGAAAAATTTTCGAGTAAAATAATTCGCATTTAAAAAAATTTATGTCCTCATAATTTAAAATCGACATTTTCGCAACACAAAATTCTAAATAAATTATATGCAGCATAATTTAAATTAATAATTATGTGTGAGTTTACTTTTATCCCTAATCACATTTATTGCTCTACCAAATAAAAAATATCTACAAATGAAAGAGATGCAAAGCAAGTATAAATTCTAGTTTTAATATTTTTAAATAAAATATACAAGTTACATATAAATGCGATGGATGATTTCTCGAAACTTCTGTATCTTGGATTTCCGGATTGCAGTTAGCAAAAAACCGAAAATCTGGATTTTCCAGAGCACAGTCCTCTCTGACTGTGACAAGTTAGTTCTATTTCCTCAATCAGAAAATACAGTAGGGAACCGATTATCCGGAACGATCGGGATCATCGCTATTCCGGATAACTGATTTTTCCGGTTTTCTGAATCGCTACAAAAAGACGTTTTTTTAATTGTTAAACTAAACTGAAAAAAAATATTTGGTAATAATCTTAAAAAGAGAAAACATTGAAGTAATATGCTAATGATTATTTCCAAAATGATTGTAAGGTAAACATCTTTCAAAAAAGAAAAATCCTAAAATTTTATGAGGAAAATAAAAAATTTTTTTTTTTTAAATGGCGGGAAGATGTATTGAATTTCATTCCGGTTTTTTGGTTTTCCAGTTTTCTGAATTCTGGATAACGGGTTCCATACTGTACATTTTTTAGTGATAGAACTGCAAGAAAATTTAAACAAAAAAATCTGTTTACCAATTTAACATTCATGTTGCAAAATATGGTGTAAGGATATAAAACATTTTAATTATAAATGCATACAACTGTGTAAACATTATAACAAGTAATTATAAAACATATGTTGTAGGAAATCTTTTTTGCTGGAAGGTTGGTTACAACTACAGAAGAATTTGCAAAAGTTGCAGCAGAAAATACCCAAAATATTCAAGAGATAAATTCCAAGATCTTACAGAATAATATCCATTTTCTTCCTGACACTCAATAATTGAAACTTTTAAGAAATGTTATTGAATATAGCGTATTTTTTCCTTCTGAGTAGAAGAGATTCCACTTTAAAGAGAACAGGTAAATTATGAATGATGTTACAGGTGTAGAAGAGTCGAATCCACTAATGCCAAAGGATGTGCTATCAATTTCTGTTAGTAGAATGGAAAAGAAACAGATAAAAGAATGATATTGGACAAATACATCAAACAGAAGATGAATAAATAGAAATATCCTGTATGAGAAAGCATGATTATGAAGAAAGGATATTTATGTTCCTAGAGAAAGATAAATGATGGATTAACTCAAATTATGCAGAAATTAGAGAATTATGAAATTGCAACAGATGGCTCTGGTACAAAACTGCCCAGTAGCAGAATCATGGCAACATTGTCTCAGAAAGAATTTAACTTTAGAAAGTAAACAATTTTGGTTTTCTTTTCTGCAAAAATCTTTGCATTTTTTTCCTTTCTCTAAAATTATATTTAAAAGATGCCTTTTTCAAGCATCAGAGGGAGAAGAAATGTTCTTAATTTTTAGATTCTTATTTGAGATGAAAAATAAAGAATGTTGAAGCAAAAAATTTCTCTTCTGCAGAAATGTTTGAAAGATTTTGAGAAGAAATGCTCCTGATATTTTTTATTCCCGTTTGGGAAAAATAAAAAATTTGGTTCTCTTTTCTTTCCCCGATTTTACGATTTTTAATTAATTTTTATGTGATGATGATTTACGAAATGTTAAAAAAGAAATTGGTGTGTTTTCCTCTTACAAAAAGTAAGAATATAGCCCATGATATTAGAATAAAAAATATTAGGTACATATTTATTTTTTAAATACATACAATTTTATTATATCCAAATAGGCTTTTCTTTGTAAATGCAATGTTTCTGTTACTTTAAATTTAATTAATAACATGTATATTAGTTACTATTTAAGGTATCTTGCAGAAAGATATTAGTGCTAGAAAGGTTTTCCGCAGAAAAGCCCAAAAAAAATTTGCCACAGGGCAAGACTGTAGATTAAAATTTTATAACGCCTTAGTAGCTGAATGAATTATTGTAAATTGTAGGTTTAAATTTCAGAATACCTTTCACGCTAAATAAATTAAAGTTTATCATTTTAAACTTCGTTTTTCGGTTACCATTATTTACCTAATTTATATGGTTCATATAAATTATTTTTTAGAAATGCAAGTCAAATTATAATAATTAAACCAGTCTTTATGTATTTACTGTTTGCTTGGCTGAATTTTCATAAGAAATATGATAATCATGCCTAAAAAATGTCCTATTACCATATTTGAAATTTTTTTAAAAAAAAGTTATAAATTGAAAACTTCTAGGTTTAACATTTTTAGCAATTAGCTATAAAGAATATATAAGTCTAAACATTAATCATTGGAAAAATGTGCATCACTTTTGATTACAATAAAAAAATACATTGATTTTGTTATATTGTCTTACCGTTACTAATAGAATTCACCATCTACAATTTTTTTGTGTATTTATACTTAACAGTAATTAGTTGTGAAAATTAATTACTATTTGTAACAGTAAATACTTAACTAAATTTATAGTGTAACTAATACCATACATAATTTCATAGGCATATATTAAGTCATTCATATAGTTGAAAACTAAAGCACTAGATACTATATTTCTGTGTGGAAAACACACTGAAATAGATATTAATTTATTCAGAAATTAAATAAACTTCTTTTCAATTTGTTTCTATTTTCTTCAGTTAAAAATAATTAATTAAAAAGGTACCAAATTAATGCTATTTAAACTAAATTGTAATTATAAGGCAAGATTAGGAAATTGTGCAACCAGTTTGTTGCAAAACCTGATAACTATAAAATTAGTTGTGAAATAAACATCCAAATTGGGTAATTCCTACACTTGCTACCGTCTACATTGAGGCAAGCTGTTTAGGTTTTGAAACACTTTATCTAAATGCTTCTTAAACCAAATTATCTCTACTCCTATTGCATTTTGGCAAAACATAGCAGCCATTTCTAAAAAACTTATGAGGATGGCATGTTCAGGAACTAAACTACATTTATGTACAAACTGAAATTTTGAATCAAGAGTCTAAAAATCCAATTCTATGATATCTGAAAGAAAAAAAGTTTTTGATAAAAGGGTCAGTAAACTCTCCTACAATCTTGATATCACGTATACATAACATAAAAAAATTTTGAACATATTCACCTACTAACTTTCAATATTAAAAATTAAGTAAAAATTTCCAGTGGTCTGCCTGGATTTTTTTTTTTGAGAGTTACCTATTGTGAAAATTTAGACACAATTTGTGAAAATTAAAATTACATTAAAATATCAACACCAAAATGTTAAAATAAGAAATTATATTCAATAGTTGTCACTACAAGAAAAAATCATTTATAACTGGAAAATTTCTATATATTTTCACCCATATATTAAATAAATTTGCTATTATAAAATATTGAGATTAAAATTGTATCCAAATTTAAAAATCTACTATAGTTAAATTTAAACTTACTGCATATAACAGTACTAGAACAAACAGTTATCATCATTGAGAAAATTTTTGACTACATCACAAAAAATTTCATAGGAAAAAAAAAATGTATAAAAAAAATAAAGGCCTGTTAGAATAAATTTATAATAATGTTCGAATGATGTTACAATTTTGGCTTCCTGTGACATTTGGCTGTTCATTTTAAAAAACTCTGGAATTTACAGTTTTTATGGGGATACGAAAACAAAATTTTAAGAGGCTGCTTTATTTAAAGAATTTTGTGAAACTACCGTTATTTCTAAAGCTGAATTTGTCAAGGTACCGTTAAACGGTAGTAAATTTGCCCAGGACAGACCCCTAACTTCCATTAACAAAAGTTGTTCAATATTTTTTATATCTACATATACAATTTGATAAATTTTTTAACTGAAAATAAAACTTTTCATTAAAAAAATAAACATTAATTTACACTTTAAGGGGGTAAAATTTATCTTACATCCATTACATTTTTTACATTACATTCGAGAAGGAGAAATTTTTTGATATCCAAGTTTTCCTTAATCAGTTAGTCCACGAAGCATAAGCAAATGTTTAAATTTTTCCCTTCCTGAACATAACCCTTCTAAACGTTTAAATAAAGCAAGAATCTATAGATTACGAAATACGATAAATATAAAAAATATTCTTTCAGCCCAGTTCCATAGTTGACTTTATAAAATTTTAGTAAGGAAAAATATTTAAGAAGACTTTCCAATTGTGAAATTACTAAGATAAGAGTATTTCAGATATGTAAAATTACCATGGCGCAAAAAATTCCACTAAAATAGCATCGTGTTCTGACACCCGGTCTTCAAAATCAGCACCTGAAAGGTCGAGTACTTCACCTAGTACAATACTAAAACAGCTGAAAAGGGCTAACAAGATGAATTTCATGATGATATAACTATAAAAATACAGACATTAACTACGAATAACAATTCCAAAAACTTCCTACAGATTTGGACCGGCTTTTTAAAAAGACCGATAGGAGAAAAAAACGTCACCCAGAAGCAACCTGCCAAGCCACATGTGTTGTCAGTTTGCGATTGGCTGAAAAAAAGACGAAAGACCTAAGATTTTCATTGTAGTAGCTTAAGATTAACGGAAATGAAGCTCAGTTTTATTTGATGGCAACAAGAGTTACTCTCAAAGACCACTCGCCTCTGGACGTCTAAACTCGCAGCCTTCGAGCGCGGAAAGTAACGTCTTCACAAGAGTCTATTGGATATCTCCGTCCGATCGTGAAACAGAATCCAAAACTCGCAACCCCCGAAAAGATCGGTGAAGGGAATCCCAGCCCTCAAACCAAGGTTGAGACCCTCCTCCTAGGAAGTGACGTCGTGCATCGATAGTCATGAGAAAGTGACCAATGACTTTTGTTTATCCTTTGATCGTTCTCTCTTTGCTAGAGGATTGTGACCTCTTTCTCAGAATTCACAGAGGGGTGCATTGTTTTTGAGAGGGGATGAATTCTCCTTTCATTTTGACAATTACTTTGTCGAAAATAAAATATATATTCATTTTAATCTTTCCTCAAGATTTCAATATGTAATATTTGTATTATTGTATTTATTATAAGTGAATGTTGTTGACTTTAGGCAGAGGGGGTGCGATTGCTCTTGTTTTCTAGTGGCGCCATCTATGGCCAAGAATTCGACTTCTGCCACACCGTACGTCACACCCGTTTATAGGGCGGACCCATTCATACATCCATTCATTCATCCACAGATCGTAATTTTGACCTGAATCAGAGAACGGTCGATCTCCAATCCAGTATCCCCAGAGGTATTGATTTGATATGGGAACATGGAGGACTTTTGCGACTCGACAGATTTAACGCGCATCAGTCACTTCAGTACACGGGGAGTCTTCGGCCGGCGGGGTTCGGACATCGGCCTAGTGCCCTACCGACCAGTCTGGATTTACTTATAACTATATTTACTAACAGTTTGCGGAACAAAAGAAATTTTCGTAAAATGAAAAATAACAACAGATTACAAATGAAATACATCTTTATTTATAAAATTTNGGCGGGGTTCGAACTCTAGGACATCGGCCCAGTGCCCTACCGACCAGGCTAGATTTACTTATAACTATATTTACTAACAGTTTGCGGAACAAAAGAAATTTTCGTAAAATGAAAAATAACAACAGATTACAAATGAAATACATCTTTATTTATAAAATTTTCTAAAAATCATTCTTCGAATGCTTTTTTTTTTTTTTAAATAAGTGTAATTGATTGATTTAGAAATTACATCATAAGATTATAAAACTTTTATAATATTTTTTTATAATAACATTTAAAGTAAATTACAATACGCAAATAATGCACTGTATTTTTTTTTTTTTCAAATTTAACAATTTATCTCTTTTTAGAAAATGGTATTTTCAATCGTTGTGTTTTATTGAACTAGATTTGGAAAAAAATTCTCTTTAATTAACTTTTTGCCTTTTACTACCCTCTTACATTAAACTCCACTCAGAAGACAAGGGTGCCAGGTAGTCGCACTTTATTTAAGAATTTCAAGTTAGAGTTTTTAGTTACACAATTTCAATGTTGTCGTTCTAGCCATATGGGTTGTTCAAGATTTTTTTTTTTTTTCATCTTACAAATTCGTGCTTTAAGTTTAATTAGATATAAATATTTTTAATACTTCCATTTAAACAAATTTTCAGTTTCAAAATATCCTTAATTATTATATATGTAGTTGCTAATTATTATATTTATCATTATATTCTATTATATTGTTTTTAGATTTGTAGCTGGGTATTTTTTTTCCTAATCATTTACCATTGTGCAAGTAAATAAATTATGAAAAAGTCTTTCGGAAAANTATATGGAACTGAAAACTGCATTAAACATACTTCTAAAGAAAAGTACCATGGAAATTTTAAAAAAATATTTTTATTAAATAAAAAAGAAAAATATTAAGAAAGGGGAAAATATCGTAGTACATTCCTATACAACTGAAAAGAGGAGGAGAGGGAAGGGAGAAGGGCTAAAGGCATGAAACCGGTCTCTCCCCAGATGGCGTATTCGAGTGTTGCGATTGCGAATAACATTTAAAGTAAATTACAGTACGCAAATAATGCACTGTATTTTTTTTTTTTTTTTTTTTTTTTATTTTNTTTTTTTAAATTTAACAATTTACCTCTTTTTAGAAAGTGGTATTTTCAATCGTTGTGTTTTATTGAACTAGATTTGGAAAAAAATTCTCTTTAATTAATTTTTTGCCCTTTATTACCCTCTTACATTAAACCCCACTCAGAAGACAAGTGTGCCAGGTAGTCGCACTTAATTTAAGAATTTCAAATTAGAGTTTTTAGTTACACAATTTCAATGTTGTCGTTCTAGCCATATGGGTTTTTCAAGATTTTTTTTTTTTTTTTTTCATATTACAAATTCGTGCTTTAAGTTTAATTAGATATAAATATTTTTAATACTTCCATTTAAACAAATTTTCAGTTTCAAAATATCCTTAATTATTATATATGTAGTTGTTAATTATTATATTTATCATTATATTCTATTATATTGTTTTTAGATTTGTAGCTGGATATTTTTTTTCCTAATCATTTACCATTGTGTAAGTAAATAAATTATGAAAAAGTCATTCGGAAAAATATTTTTTTAGTGCCACATAAATTTGTAAAAGACTTTTTGAATTAGAATTAATTGCATTAATCAGGATAACCTAAAATATTATTTGAATGAAACCTAATAACACTAGTATAATAATAAACAATGAATAAAACAAAATATATTAGAAATATTTAGCTAATATTTAAAAACAAATCTCAAAACAGAGAAAAAAATTATGCTTTTTTTTTTCCCCTCACTAAAATTTGTAATTTACCATTTTACTTACACTAAGTATTTTCAAAAATTCAAGTGTCAAGCAAAAGTTTATGACCTAACTAAAACGTTTTCTTTAGTCAAGTATTTTTTTAATACAATTTCTAACAAAATTTTTAAAACAACGTGATTTTAGAAATTTTTTAATGTTAATTTTAACAAATTTTATTCTTTAAATAGTACATAATTCTAGAAAAACAAATTTTCGAGTATATTTCGATATTATATCTAAAAGACTAAAAATATTTATTTTTTCCTTGGAATATTTAAAACTGAAAAATAAAGGGAGAAGGAAAATGAAGAAAATAAATATAAAAAAAGGTTTCCTAATTATGCAGCTAAATTTATCAGCAACTTAATAATAATACAAAAACGATTTCATTGAAAAAGTTTTCTTTCCTTATATTCCTAAAGAAGTACACTGAAGTGTTCCTATATCGCCCAGTCCTATCCAGGAGTTCTTGGGGTAAACGTCTCCATTCCTCCTTTAACGTATCTTTCAGCTGATGAGTGTTACCAGGAGGATACTGTCGTGTCGCAAGACGTCTCCCTAATGCATCCCACACATGCTCTATGGGATTTAGATCTGGAGAGTAAGCTGGCCAATCATTCGCGTGATATCTTCACTTTCCAGTAGCTCTTGAACATTAGCAGTACGGTGTGGCCGGGCATTGTCATCCATAAAAATGAAGTCTGGTCCAATGGCCCCTCGGAACAGACGCACATGGGGTAGGATTACCTCATTGCAGTAGCGGTCTCCAGTTACAGAACCTCGGTCGAAGATCTGAAGCTCAGTCCGCCCGTTCAACATAATGCCACCCCAGACGACAACTCCAGGACCACCGTAACGATCTCTTTCCGCGATGTTATTGGGATGAAATCGAGCTCCAACCTCTCTCCAGATCAACTGACGTTGAGAATCGCTTGTAGCACTAAAACGACTCTCATCTGTGAAGAGGACGCGACTCCATTGATGAGGTGTCCAGGTTTCGTGTTCTCTGCACCACTCTAAACGGTGCCGCCGATGTCTAACTTTTAAAAGTATGCAGCGTTCAGGACGCCTAGCAAGTAAGCAACCATTGTGGAGACGTCTGGCCACTGTAAATCTTGATATTTGATGTCCTGTGGCTGTGCACAGTTGCTGAGATATGGCACTCGCTGACTGAAAACGGTTTCTTTTCACCTGGAGGACAATATAACGGTCATCTCTTGGTGTTGTTTTCCTTGGACGACCGCCACCAACCTTCCGAACAGCTGTATCAGTAGTTTTAAAGGCATTCCAAGCACGAGAAACAACACTTTTGTTGATCCCGAACTCTTCGGCGACACTGGTCACACTACGCCCCTCCTCAAGCTTCCCAATCATTCTTCCTCGAGTAAAGTCGTCTTAATGATTTCTTGAAGACATGTTTCACAAAACAAATCACTTGCACTTGCAGCGAATGTCTTTAACTACGGTGCTCTTCATCCTTTTATCGCAGCATTGACCTGCGTGCGCCGACCCACAAGGTTTACGTACACTTACATCACCTACGACGTTTAATTTCTAAAATTTGCATACAAATAATCTTTCTACTGAATTACGTGTATATTATAATGCAATTTCATGGCCATCTTATACTTTGTTGGGGAGCTGTGGCCGAAAAACCACTTGTTGCTTAAGTTTTGCACACCAGTGTAATTACTTAATCTATTTATTATATAAAACAATAAATTTGTGTGAGAAAAAGTTTTGTCTGAAATATCTGGGTAAAAATTATCTTTGAAATCGAAAATCTAATTTAATCCCAGCCTTAAACACATCCTATTCGAACGTTCAAATCGCTTTCATCAGCAAATTGTTAGGTGAAAGACATCCGATAGTTGGGAGGAAAAATGAAGATCGCATCCCGTTATCAAAATCCGTTCGAAAGCGCAAGGTTACAGGTTTTCCCTAGGTGTAGAAAAGTGAAGCCAAAATGACGTCATTTTCTGTCTAGCTTGTTCGATGGTTTCGAGTTTAGAGCTCCTCTTCAATGGACTACACACGTTTTTTGCACGTTGTGACGTCACAAAGTCAACTATTCAAATAACTGTTAGCTTACTGTGGGAAATATTTATCAGAAATATTGCTCAGTTGTTTACATTGTTTGTCTACGGTAAGAATTCCCTCTGTCACAAAGCCTGAGGTCGCCTGCTGCAATGGAAACAAGAATAGCTCATTTTCTTCACTTCACTCCAGGGCTAACACTAAAGACAGAAGAAAAAGACTCGCCGACCAAAGTCCAA